GTCACTACAGGCCCTGGCAAAACGCCTCTCCATCTTCCTTAGAAGCCCCTTTATATACTGAAGGGCCACAGGAAGGTCTTCCTGGAGCCGTCTCTTCTTTAGGCTGAACCACCCCGGCTCCCTCAGCCTCCCTCCACAGCAGAGCCGTTCCAGCCCTCGGATCATTTTTGTGTCCCTCCTCTGGACCCGCTCCACCAGGTCCACGTCTCGCTGGGGCCGGGGGCCCCAGAGCTGGGCGCTGGGCTCCCCGCAGGGGCTCCCCAGAGCCGAGCAGAGGGGGAGAGTCATCGCCTTGAGCCAAAAGATAATTTCAGTTTTATCAGGTCTGAGCATCTAAAAGCTAGGCAAAGATTAAATTTAAACTTGCATGGTTAACGTGGTTGCTCTTCCTATGAAGGTGTATCATTCCCTATTTTATATTCCCAGAGTTTTCTTTCTGGGACCTAACTGAGAATCCAGGCTTCCTTGATTTCAGCAGTGTCAGTAGCACTTGACTGATCATCCAGTAACTTCTTTGCAAAGTCATCAGCTTCCTGAATGTTCAGCCCCCAAACCAAGCACGTGTCTGTCCCCTGTTCAGGTGTTGGTAACTACCAGATCTCAATAAGAGCTAGATGCCTGCATAACCCCGCTGGATCTGGACTTAGCCAGTGGAAAATCCAGCTACTAGTAAGGTGGCTATTGCCTTCCTCTTTGCTTTCGTAGTATAACTTGCTGGAAATAGTAGATGTTTCAGTCAGCTTCTAGGTTATTAGCAAAAACATTGTGGTAAATTACTAGAACACCTAAAAATTTTTAAATGTTTGAATTTGAAAAAGTAAGATACAGGCATAAAATTTTAAAGTGGTTGCATTGTTATACACTACCGAGAGAATTATCAAAGAGAAGAATGCAATGAAATTTAAAGTCAACATCTTGTATTAATAAGGTTGAGAGATGACAGACAGGGTAAAAGGTAATGGATTTAGAACCGTGTATATTTGTAATGAATGTATCAAGTTTATACTGAATTGCACTTTAGAGTCTAATCTGTCAAGCTAATAAAACACCCACAGCAAATGGCAGAAAATAAGTTGGGAGAAAATAGCAGATGCATTTGAGCAAGAATAAATTGAATTTGAACAAGGCTCTCAATCAAAAGCTGGGGAAAATAATCAGTGGTAATCATCAAGAGATTATTTGTCTTTGTGATCCTTGTATTGGGGATGTTTGAAACAGGAGTGTTTCCTGTTGGGTTGCCATAGCAAACCCTGGGTGCCTTTCCCATGATAGTATTATGCAGGAATGTAAATGATAATGGGTTTTATGTAGAGTCAGCCTTGGAGTGAAAGGCAGGCATGAAATTCAGCTTGTCATTCAGCTGGATTTAAAATACTGAAGGTTGTTGAAGCAGAGAGGAGGTTGCCTCTCAGAAGAGGGTATGGGCCAGATTTTTTTTTTTTAAAGGCATTTCAGCCTTTTGTGATTGCCAGTAGGTTTTCAATGCCCAAATACTCACTTAGTGTAGTCATAACTAAGTCTTCAATAATAACTGTGATTCTCACAGGCACAATTGCTCTACTGTGTTATCCCTACCTAATTAATGTCGTAATGGACATTGTGAATTTCTGGGCATTAGCATATACAAGTTGCAAGGTCTTTCTTCCCTGCCGTTCTGTGGAGCGGATGAAATCCAGCCAAGCACGAGGCACAAAGAGTTTGTGCCCTTGTGGCAGTGGGTGCCTGATGCCGTCTCTGGCGCTGCTGTGTCCTTTTTTCTGTAGCTACACCCTGGAAGTTGTTTGCACCCGAACTGCAGCAGACAGTTCCCAGTGTCACCAGAAGTTCCCTGCCAACCTGCAGAGTTGATGGACTCGCTGTTGAGGTTGTCGCCAGCGACACAAATGTGACTGTGCTGCTTGTTGGCTTTGGCTGTGTCCTGACCCGCGGTTAGGACTAGTTTCCACGCGAGGGAGCCAGCTCCAGAGGCCATGTGCATTAGGCTTTCGTGCCACGGGCCTGTAGTCAACCCCGATGTAAGGGATGTTGTGGGAGGCACAGGTGAGTGTAAGAACCCCCATGAGTTTGTAGAGGTGTTGCTCTGATAGCCTTCTGGATTGGAAGCCATCACAAGGGAAGGAAACCAGAGACCTCTCGACTATATACAGAGATAGCAGGCAGGAGAGGGGGGAGTGAGGAACACAAGGAGGGACAGATAAAAGAGAAGAGGTGTCAGGTTCAAAACAAGGGGAGAAGTTATCATTGACACTGCTCAAGCAGCTGTAAATACTACACTTTCCCATGACACCAGAAACTATTTCTTTAAAAAAAAAAAAAAAAAGATAAGATTATTTATGTGCAAGGAAAAAGAAGCCTTCGTCACTGTAGCCGGTCCTTCAGCTGCAGATCGCTCATGCTTGAAGTGCATGTGCTGTAAGCACTACTATTTACCCTACTCTTAAGCTGTTTTGGCAGAATTTGCAAAACAGATATTTGTTCAGCTGGACCTTTAATTTGATCTCATATGGTGGTTTTTATTAATGACAGCAAGCTTAAAAAGGAAAAGGAATTCATTTGGATAGTGTAGGATTTCTTCCATGACGGGGTAGGAAGCAACCAAGTTTCAGGGCTGGAAATACGAATGTATTCACTGCTAATGTAGTTACTGCAGCGTCTCCTAGGGGTGGCTACAGAGTGTTGTTGATATATAAGTATTGATTTGGCATTTGAATATATTGACATATTTTTGTTTGCTTGTTTCTCATAGGGCAGCAAAACCTTACTAGCCATATACAAATGGCATATAGTAAGGTTTTGCAGACAGTCTTTAACCACTTAGAACACTACCTTGCCACAATTTATTTTTATTTTCCAATTAGAAGCACAAATGAAATTGCTGTGGTTTTGTTTTGGTTGTTTTTGTTTTGTTTTGGGATTTTTGTGTGTGGTTGTTTTTAAGTACTGGACGTAGCTATGCCAAAACATTAATACACATGTAGGTATCACTGGAAGAGATGTGTATGTTGAGGTGTTTTGTTTGTTTTTAGACTTCTGTTATAGGGAGTGCTGGTTAATCCTATGTTTCAGCATTGCACAGAGATTGTCACTTTTTACAGTACAAAGATGTTTGCTCATGTAAATAAGTACATTAACAAAGCAGCTGAGTCAGTTCCAGCAATATTAGCTGATGGAAAACTTTGAAATATGTTGCCTGGCTGCTCTAGCTTAGGAAGAGGGGGAGGCCTGAAGAAAGCAGAGGTGGTGGGCAGCCCTTTCAGAAACCAGTGCCCAAGGGAGGAAAAAATACAGATAGACACAAGTAAAATTTATGCAAAGTAAATTAGTTGCTGCTCTGTTGTTGATACAGCCGAACAGTAAAGAGACTGGTGCATTAATTAGTAGAGTAAGTAATGCCATAATTGCAAATTGAGATGATGTACCACAACATCACACATGTGCACAAAAATAATTCAGTTGCAAGACCTAACAGGCAGAGTCATCGTGGGGTTTGGTGGCTTTAAGAGGTCCTATGGCAGCATTGGTGAGCTCCTAGTAATTTGATTCATAACAGGTTTTCCCATCTATTGAGATGATCAGTATTTGTGATGGCAGGTGATATTTCTGGGTTGTAGGACGAGGTTTCTTTTTTGCCTAGTCGCCTTGGTTGCCCTTGTTGCTCTTCCAGTTCCCGGACTCCTGGATACTTGCTTAAGTGGAGGGGGTCGGGTGGGTGTGGATGTGGTGATGCATCTTCCCCCCCTCCCCCTTTTTCTATCTTCCTATTTTCTTTTTCTTCAGCAAATTGCAGTTGAAGGTGGCTTCAAGAGTATGCTATGTGACCCTTGATGTGTATTAGTGCAAGCCAGACCAGTGTTGCATGTAGGCTGTGCGTTGTGTGAAGCTCAAAAGCCAGGAGACTCTTACACGCTGATTCTAAATTTAAGACTAGCAGATAATTTAGTCCATTTGCAACTCTGGTAAGCACTGACATTAGCTAAAGCAGAATGCATCGTATTCCTAAAGTGAGATGTTAAATCAGAAATGTGACTTGTGGTGGTTGGTCGTTTTTTTTTTTTGTCTTGGTCAGGTTTCGGGTTTTTGTAGGGCTTTGTTTTTGTTGGTGGTAGTTTTTGTTTTGGGGGTGTTTTGTTTTTTTTTTTTTTTGTTTTTTTTTTTTTTTTTTGTAAGTTGGGCATTCACAATGATTAACAGAGAAGGCAACATTAGTTCCATTGTTAATATGCTGTTCTTAGTACTGCAACACTGGAACACTGAAAATCAAAACAAATTTATAAAGGTGTAGACTTGCATTGTTAAACTGAATTTAGAGTTTGCAAGTAGGGGATATTCTGTTTCTAGTACGTAATCATGGACTGCAGAAAATTCTGCTATAAGCATAGGAAATAGGCAATAAAAATGATAGAATGTTCACACTTACTTCAGGTATGGCTTAAACACGTGAAGTTTGTAAATGTGCTGCTTTGTATGGTCACCGCGGAATTGGGTAATTCTAGAACAGAACTTCCCATGGAAGTCTGGAGCATTACAATTCTTGTATTGGAAATGATGATGGAACAGATGATGTGCAATTTCTGTATTTTATCTAATGGCACTTCTTTAGAGGACACTGTGTAACCACTAACATTGAATTAATTGTTCAAATCCTTATCGAGTTACCTTGAATTGTGCCTTCTGCACGTGGCTGTGGACCAGTGACCAATAGCCACTGCGAAGTTCTCCCGGGGATACGTTCTCACTCTGCTGAAAACGTTGTACACATTACTGTTTCGTAAATGCAGGGAGGAGCACGGGGAAAAGTTGGGCACCGCTTTTACAGAAGCATGTGGTTGGTGTGTTTAATCACTTAAAAATAAATCAGGTAGAGATGTAACTGCACATGGGCTCCCCCAAACACATCCCAGGTTGTGAAAGCCTTCCTGCAAATTGTGACCTCATGGCAATTTATTTTTTTTTTAACAAAACAAAGCTTCAGTAGGCAAAAATGTATTTGAAGTATAAAATGTTGTAGCTTCCATAATTCTTTATTAAATATTTAATTAGGTTGCATCATTTCATTACAACAACTTCATTTTGTCACATTGAGCTTTTGCTGTCAGAAGAACAAAACTACAGTTTCTTTCACTGCTTCTCAGAAAATAAATGGAAAAAATGACTTTTGCCATAAACAAATCCTTTCCCCACAGTGTATCGAATCCAACCACAGTTTAAAGCTGTATTAATTGTGAAAATGAGCATTATCTAGAAGTAGTACTTTTAAAATCAGCTTTAAGGTAGTTTAGCATAATTTTGAATAGCCTTCTAGTATTGAGGTGACTTTACAAAAAATAAAATAATTAAACAGTATGCATTTAATCTGGAATGTTTGACACTTTTACATGTTTGGAAATATCAGTAAATCTCAGTTTTAAATTTTATTTTAAATTTATGTTCACAAACACAGAACATAGCAACGTTGTTTCCTTGAGATTTCCATTTGAGTTTTGAGAATCATAACCTATTCACTATTGCATGGTTGTGACAAATCTGCAGTGGAGACGGATGGCTCACCAGCCTCTCTAAAGCCAGTAAAACACAGATTAAAGTATAAAAATGCAACACATGTACAATTGTATGTGGATGCGTACTGTGTATATTTTTACAGCTACATACTAAAAAATTAAGGAAAAAAGCGCAAGGTCTCTGTGAAAGTAATATGGAAAAGGAGGAAACCCCAACATGCAAGTGGAGGATAAATGTGGACAGATTGTTAGAAGTGTGCGTTGACTGACATGACTAAATATGGTTTGTGCTGGTGGTATCTAATAGGGTGCTGGGTGCACTGGGACAGGCTGGGGGGGACGTAACATTAATATGGTTAGATTCCAGCTTTAGAAGTTTCCCGTGCATTTCAAACGTGCATTACTTCTTAGTGCAACATCGTAACAGATGGGTGAAGACTTGCAGGGTTTTTTCTGTCCTTGTAATTTTATATGCAAAAGGAAAAGCTTTTATTATAGAAGATTAATGTGTGCTTTAAAATGTCCAATCTGGTAATCTACCTTTTTTCTACTATACATACTGATAATTAGCCCTTGCAATCACACGGGTGTGATGGGTTATTTTTGACTCTTCGAAGTGCAGTCTAACTATCCAGCTTGCCCTCCCTGCTCACAGAACACGCTTGAGGAGCGGCGAGTGCCGCAGCCGTGCCGCCGAGTGCCAGGGCTGAGCGGTGCGGGGTTAGTGCCCGCTTACAGCCCAGCCCTGCCCGCCGCTCTGCTCCCGCTCCGCAGGGGGAGAGGCCACCACGAAAGGGACAGGAGTAAGCTAAAACGCGCCCTTCTTCTCGTTCCTCCTGGACTGGAAGATAAAACGCAGCAGCAGTTTCCAGGGGCCGGGCGTGTGAGCAGGAGCTGATGTGGTCGGGGTGGTGTACGCTCCAGCCCTCCCAGGCAGAGCTGTGAGCCCTAGTGAGAGCAGGGGGTGGCAGCTGCAGAGCCTGTGTTCTGACGAGAATTTGTAGGAATCAGTGGCCTTAAGGCTTCGTAAGAGCAAACAAGAGCAAGCAAAATGGTTTAGGTACCACCTTTATGATTGCCATTTATTAACCAAAACAAAGCAGCTGAATAGAACCTTTTAAAATACCGCTGGGTTGGTTTGTAGCGAGCAGGCTAAACTGTCAGTGCACAAGCAGGTACTGCGGTAAGAAAGGCACAATACTACGGTACAAGTCCCACTGGACTGTTAGCTGCTTTTAGATGTTTTAAGTAAATGACATTTAGCTACCTTTTCTTCTAGAAAGATTGCTTCAAGTGTTGCTTCGGGAGCTCCAGCAGGACTCCAGACTGTTAAAATCCAGGCTCTGTTTAGAGCCCTGCAGAAGAAAACCCATTTCTTCTGCAGCTGCTACTTTGCACAGCTGACACAGTTTTATTTAGCCGCATATAGTTTATTGCAAAACTGAAGATAACTTCCTGGGTTTTGTCATAGCATACAAGATCTTAACTTTCTGGCTGAAGAGAGGGGCCTATCTGCCCAAGGGTTTAGCCATCAACAATAAAATCTGGGTTGCATGGGTGTTAGCACGTTTTAGCAGGGGCTTGTGTCCTGGTAGCTACAGCGCTGCCGAGCCTGGCAGTGGCAGCCTGATAGCTCTAGCTCCCAGGAAGGCTTCTGATGCCCGTAACGAAAGCTCGATGCAGAAATGGGACTGGGCTGAGCGATTTTCAGCTTCTCCTCCACGTAGTCTGGCTCGTGTGTGATCGCTGACTCTGGGCTACTTTCAGACCGTTTCATTTCCGTAGCAGAGGGAGCTGTGGTGCGTTTGTACAGGCAAGATGCAGTGCTGTGTTGTGATAGCATAGCTAAATCTCAGGAAAGAAAAGTAATGAGCTGGCTTACTGCTACGTTCACCTGGGCTGTTGGGAGGAACACCTTCACAGGGCCTTGAACGTACAGCAGCTAGCGGCTGGGGCTGATAGCTGTGCCTGGTACTGCGAGGCGCGTCAGCAATGCAGGTGAGAGCTGTGCCTGCACTGGCTAGAGCACAAATAGCACTTACTTATGTAGTTATTTGCATTAATTGCCCCAAAAGACCAAATGGTGCAGGTTTCAGCATGAGCTGCACAAGTCTGTCAGGGCACTGCACGTCAGGCCTCTGCCAGTGCTGCCCGAGGTAGGGCAGGGCCCTTTGGGCGCTGCACTCAAAGCTGCCACTCTCATGGCACACCCTGAGGGAGTTAAGGGCTTTCTTTTAATATTGAACTACTTCCTAAAAATTGAAAGCCTGTCTCTCAAACCACTACAGTCCAAATACGCATTAATTACAATTCATACAGAGGAATTTGCCTCACTATATTAATACCTAGTGAAGGGTTTTGGAGTATCTGTCAGTTGGAGGTGAGTAGAATCTGAAAAGATGTTAAGCTAAGTCATTCTAAATATTTTTTTTTAAAAGATAAAGAATCCAAGAAACCTTCTAGTCAGATGTCACTATGTAATCCTTGATAGCTGGAAGGGCTTTGATGTAGATAAGTATTAGTAAACCTGCTTTATGAGTTGAGGGTGAGAGGAGGGAAGGGACCAAAGCAAGACACAAGAGGAACGGCAGATTCTTAAACACAAACCTGACTTCTGGTTCTACCTGAGCTGCACGACTGGTAGGTCACAGGCTTCATTGATACATGAAATCACATTGCAGTTTCACAACCAAAAAATTCAATTCTCAGGAGTTCTTAAGGTGCTGATACATGGCAGAGGCTCTAACCACAGCAAACATTTTCCAGGTGAGGGAAGAAAACCGATTTTGGATGGAGTATGATGCTTCCCTCAAGGGAGACCATGTTTTCACCAGCTGTGCTGAACATAGAGAAGGTCAGTGGAAATACCTGGATTTACTTCCTTTTCCCCACAGCTGAATGATCAGCACGGTGTTTATCCACTCTGAGGCCGCCCACGTTCTCATCTTCAGGCTCACTCATCAGATGTAGAGAGTCCGAAAGGAATGTCAGGAAACATTTAATAGAAAATTCATCTTGACCCGTGATCAAATAATAACATCACCTTCCTCATGCCTCGATTAGGTCTTCAGACCTCGTGCTAGCACCCAACCCCTCGTGGTGGTTAGCAGCACTCAGGCTTCTTTCCAGCAGCCGCCACAGTCCTGCGGTTTCTGCCGTGCAGCTGCTCCTGCCCAGACAGACTGTCCTGGCCCCTGGGTGCTGGCGACCAGGTAAGGACAGGGCTTAAAAAGCTGCTGGCAATGAGGTGACGGTCTGTTTTGGCAGGTGGTGTCATCTGGCTTCATAAAGTGTTAAATAGGTTCTTGGGGGAAAAAGCCAACTTACAGGTAAGTATGTGGGCAGAACTCACAAAACTGAATGTTAAATTGCTGAAGCTGTACCCTCCTCAAACCTACCCTAGTAGTATTGTAACCATTGAACTTCAGTGGCTCAAATACAAATCTTTCACTTTTAATCTGTCACAAAAGAGATGCAACTCAGACATTATAGTTTAAGCATGCAACATGTCATAGGTAACAAAATTGATTAGATAGCAGTGTATATTAAATAAATCTTTGTGATTAAGTAAAAAATAAATCACAAAAAACAATTGCTGAGGAACATGTCTGCAGGCTCAGCTCTACATCTGTTGTGGTTTTTTTTTTATACATCAGCAGCAGCCAAATTCACAACTGATAGATATTGCACCAGAACGACATGTGCAGTGAGAAGGAATATAATCACATTAATGTTTATGATAAAAAACAGATATGACTTCCATGTGTTACATAAAGTGCCTTTAGAGTTGGTGCAGTTAGAAACAAACAAAAAAACCATTGTTATTTAGATATCATTAGCAAATGCATACAAATAGGAGACAAAACAGATCTGTTTCCATAGTGCCAAATCACATAGTGCCAGGTTTCATTCAAAATGCCTCCGTTGCGAACAGTAAAGAGGAAAGGGTAAGAAAAGAATCACTATACAAAGATAATGAACAGGGTTAAGCATATTTTCCTAAAATGATTAATGCCAACCCCACCCCAAAATGCTTTATAGTACATGTAAATATTACCAATAATGAGGCAATTTCTTTATTGAACATGAGATTTGGCATGCTATGTTATGATTCTCCCTTGACTTGTAACTATTCTAATATTTATAGAAAAATGCAACATCCAGTCCATACTTCTGGATACAGAAAAATACTTATGTGCTCAATGAAAAGAGTTGCTCTCAAGATATAGCCCGCGTAGAGAAAATTTTCAACATAGCTTCCTCCTACTTTCTTAATAGTTTGGGAACACAAGGCTCAAAATGTGCTTTGAAAAAGTGACACTGGCATCAAGTCTGGTATGAAATTAAGAAAAATGCTCAGTTTTCCAAGTATATGATATTTAATTGTAATGAAATAAAATCTGAAAATGTCTAAATCAATTAAAAAGTAAACATGAGTTGTAATACCATACCTGTAAAATGATTAATTCCATTCATTGTCATTAGAAATTCTGTAAAATATTTATTAAGGGCTTTGCCTACAGAGGCACAACATAAATAGAGTAAGTCCTGCTGAAATGTGATCAGAGTTCCTGTTAAGCAGTTGGTAACCTGCTGTGGAAAGGGCAGAAAAGCCACCCACGGATTGCAGTTCAACTCGGGGATTCAGGCAACTGCGCTGTCGAAGGGTTTGCTCCATGAACCAGCGCTGTGCAACTGTTCTGCCACAGTCACTCGGAGTCCGTTAGGCAAATGCAGAAGTGCAAGCAGAACTTGCTTGAAGGGGGGGAGAAAGGCGGCGTTTTAATCCACCCCTTCAAATCCTTGAGCATTTTCCACTGCCATAAGGAGCTTCTCTCGCAAATCTTCAAAAGATTCATAAAGAGGTAAGTCTAGGCGATTAAAGCTGGAATTTAGAAGGGAGAGAGTCTTTTAATAACCCGCTGCAAAATCCACATAATTTTAAAGAAATAGAAAAGGTTAAATTATTTGGGGGCCTTAACAGAGAATGCATCTTTTTGTCCAAATGGGGGCAGGGCGCGCGGTGCCCTGTGCAGACCCCACCACCCTGTGTGCTCCTGCCCGCACCAGAGCGAGTTCCCAGAAATGACTGTGTGCCGCCTCTCTCCAGAGCTGAAAGTGGGGATTTGTTAAAAACCACTCAGGAAAGGGGAAAAAACCAAAAAAATCCATCAGTTCCCCCCTTTCTTGGCAGTATCATAATACAGAAGAGCTATCTAAATAGATGCTGGTGCGACTTACCATGTGTGAGCTCGGGGCAGTTTATCAGGACTTCCCCATTGCTCTATTGTAAACAGCTGAGGACCGTTTGAACCTGGTTGAAAATGAAAATCGTATGAAATATAAATTGCTGGACACTACAGAGACTACCTAAATATTTTTAACACTAAATGTTTGTATAAATTGTAGACTAGATTTTTCAACTGGTACAAAATAACTGGTACAAACTCTCTTAAAAACAAACCCCCACATTCCTATTTGCTTTAGTGTAGTTTTAATTAAGGCCAGTTAGCTTGTTAAGTTTATCTAACTAGCTTGGTGTAGAGTATGCGTGCTGCAAAAGCAGTAAGCGCAGACATTAACATCTAACGATTAAAGCGCTTGGTTAAACGTGCATTCTCCTCATAACTTGAGTATTAGTCTGTTGACGGCTGAAATTTTTCCTGTGGGAACTAGGAGAGCATTTACCTAACAGCACAGTGTATAAAACCTAACTCCTCCTCAGTGTGCCCCCCAACCCTCCAGCGCTTTTGGCATCCAGCGGAATTCTGACGTGGGGGTCAAAGTCTGGCTATGACTAAATTTCATTTGTGCCCAGGTTTTCTTGTTCCCCTTGGGACGGGGTCTGTGCAGACCCGAGCAGGGAGCGGAACCTGGGGCACCTGGAGGGAAGCTCACCGTAAAGTTCAGCAAATCCATTCATAGGCACGCGTGACGTCCCGGTAACGAACTGCAGCAACCGAATCCGCTTTTCAGCATCCATCAGTAAAACAGCCTGTTGGCAAACACACAGTGGCTGTCAGGGCTGTAGCTGTCATTGTTAACAAACAAAACTGCAGTAAATAATCTTTGTGTCAGCCTGGAAGACGTGCAGTAGCAAGAAACCGGAGGTTTCCTCTGCTCACACCAGCTCAGCCTCGTCCGGCCGTGCCAGGCCACGACAGCGACGCCGCAGCTACGCACACCATGAGTCGCTGGGGGGGACAGTGACCTGAGCCAGCAGCGGGCACACGGTGGCTGCACCCAAGGGAAGAGGACAGAAACACCCAGGAGATGGGACAAAGGTTCACAGAAAACCAGGTGTTTGCAAATTACAGCAGGACCTCTCCTGGGCAGATCCAAGTACAGAGCCTTGCTGGAAACCACCGCGGGCAGGAAAATGATACCAGCAACAAAGTCTGAAGTGAACACACAAATCTGTAAGATTCCTGTGTTTTTAAGAAAAGCAGAGATCCCTTTGAAGAAACAATTCTGGGAAAAGTATTTTAGGAGTTTTTCTGGGGACTTTTGCAGTTTTTGTCAAGTAAAATGCTTTTATGAAGACACTCCAGATAAAACCCAAGATCTGACACTTTGTACCTTGGGTCTGTTCCTAGTAGAGTTCCCAGTGAGTACCCACCCCAGCGGTCACTTCCAACAGCCACAGCTCTGTTCTTCAGCAGTTTTCATAAGGAAAAATGATTTCATAACAGACAATACAGTAGCTTTCACTTTTTGGAATAGTCAGAGAAGCCAAGTGTGGTCAAACAGTATTACCTTCCAGAACCACTGGATGACGGGGTGATTTGGGCAGTAACCATTTTTGTAGATTGTATGTTGTCTCCAGTCATTGACATCAACATCGCCAAGGCCGCACATCAGTAACTACAAATGGAAGTAAATTGTTATGGTGTTAGCTGAAGATGGTATTGTGTTATCCTGTACACTTTGTCAGAAAAACAAGCTTATTTAAACAGCTAAGCAGTGCACATCTAAATGCAAACATGAAGGAGAGTTTGAGCTTCTCTTCAGAATTCTCAAAGATATTTCATTTTACTGAAGAAACACTATACACTAACTATGATCTACATATGCTTGGTGTGACAGCATCTTTCATGGTATTTTGCTCAAAATATGACTGGTATAGGCATAACAGCATTAATCCAGTAAGCTACATACATCCTTTTACATGCACATACTCAAAAACCTCACTGAAAAATTACAATTTTTTGTGCCTTTAGATGATCAGTAGCTTTATTAATTAGGGAGAAGAATCTCATGTCCCATTATAGGGAAACCACCTTTGTCTGCAACTTCACTTACAACAAGTGAGTGATGAATGATGAGCCTAGAACATAGTGCATCTTTTTGTGATGAGCATTACTGATCTGTTGTCTCTGGTCATCCATTAAACTCACCTCTAGTTCATTTTCATCAAAAATTTTAATCAGATCAATGGGAAGAAGTTCTGTGAATCCCTAAAAGAAAGCAAAGCAAAGTTAAAATTCTCATACTACATAAAATTAAGTTTTATATCTAACAGGCTCTGGCTTCAGGGAACCTAAGTACGTGACAGAGGCCAAAGAAGGGTTTTGAAAATGAAATACGGAGTTGCTGAAGTACAAGTCCCTACGTTAAAAAGTTAATCACAAAATTAGTTCAAGCTCAATTAATTTAAACTTGAAAGAGAATGACCTTGTAAGAGAAAGACTATATATTCTTACACAAGGTAAAATTGTGAAATCATAAAAGATGGGCATTCCAGAACTTGTACGGTTATGCACTGCTCCCCACTCCCTTAACCCAGTCTGCATTAAAAAAAACATTTTTTTTTGGGGAAAATAGCAGCTAAAGAACCTTACCTCCAGGAAAGCATTCATTTGTTTTGAACTCGGTTTACAAACCGCCACTGGATGACCAGGCTAGAGTAGATAAACAAAAGCACACTCATTAGCAAAATGCAAACTAAGTGTTTAGAGATTTTAGCAACCTAATAGTTTTATTTTTTCATTTACAACTTCAGCCATCTCCCAACCACACTCTGATGTTATGGAAACTCAGCAGCTTTTTAGTAATTGTTCAGATTTATCTTGGGTGACTCATCAGATTGTTGGAAAACACCCAGTGACTATGAACAAGTTACAGTACGAGGATTTTCACTGGAGCACCCAACAACAACCTACACGTACACTTGCGTGTTTTACAGCTATGACTTTTTTACATTACTGAGAATTTTTTAATGTAACACTTATGTCACCTAATATCAAACCTTTCTGTTCCATGGAGATTAACTCAAGGATGAACACGGCATAAAGGCTTGCCTGCGGACTGACTGAACCTACAGGTGCTGTGCTACGCCTTATTTCTTTCTAAATGAGGTTCCAGTCCAGACTCTGGATAATGTATTTACTGCTAGCAAAAGGTACCTAAGTGACATTTTATTCTGCCTGAGCTGAGTCATTAACAATTCCCAACAAAGTCTACACAATTCGGGGACAGATGTAACTACAGATAACAGCCTGTCTATAAATAAACAGACAGATGAACAAAAACTGCACTGTCAATGGAGAAAGCTTGCATTTCAGTGCCAACCATCTACATTATAAATACCTCCCGGGTGCTGGAATAATGCTTTAGAAATCCCTTTCCTACTGCAGCACATGCCGTTCCTGATTTGCATGAAAATAGCAATTATAATGTTTTCTCACCTTTGAAGAAGCACTAATTAACAGTGCCAGCAAGTATAGTTGAATTTATGATTTTACATTTGGGTAGGCAGAAAAAGCGAGGGAGCTTAACAGTAAATGTAGTTTAGGACCCGGCCAGTTTTTGATAGCGACACTGGTACCGGGGCCCTGGATCTGTCTGTGCCTGGCAGAGGGGGCCAGGGCCTCACCGGAGGCACCTCTGGCTCCTGGTGACCTGGGTGCTTTGGAGAAGCACGTGTCCTGCACAGGGATTTCAGGGAAAGCAAGCAGCTCATTTAATTTACTTGATTTTGTTCTTATGTTGGCCGTTGTTACACAAACTGAATTTTCAAAGGCGGCATTACAGCACTGGATACTGTTCATTTGACGGTTCCTAGAAAATTCCTACTGTGATTTTCTCATAATGCTTACAGAAATAACATTGATTTTTAAGCAGTGGCTATTTAGTCAGTTTATCTATTTTTCTTCTTTTCTGCAGTAAGTATTATATAAGGCGGCAAATAAAACACCAGATTTTCTATTAGACAAATGATTCTGCATTATCTACATGATATCTCATAAACACTACGTATGCAGGAGAATGCATCATTTGAATGTTATGTTAAGACACAGAGGCAAAACCAAACTGCAGTCTGATGGGGTTTTTAATTTTGTTTGGTTTTTTTTTGTTTTTTTTTTTTTTTTTTAAAGTATAACAACTAGATTAGTTCTATCATAATGGAATTCTGGGGAAAAATATTTGAAAAATTTGACGTTGCGTTAATCATTTCCAAATGAGAGCATCCAAGTGTTGACTCTGAGGTTATAAAAATAGCGTGACTAGCCATGAAAGAATTAGCTAGATGTAAACCTAACTCAGTGCTGAATGTTGGCCCACGGACTTTCAAAGAGCTTTTAGTTTTTGCACTGTGCTAGATATAACAAAAAGTTTATTGTGTCTAATATTTTGCACCTAAAAACTTGAAAAACAGACATACCTGAAAAACTAAAGAGCTGGCAGTGCAAATATATTGCACACAAAAGAGCTAAAAAAAAAAAATCATAGAAGCAGAAATTTCTTACTGTTCCACCTTTACAGCCAACTCACTGGAATACAACACTGCAAGTGAGATTAACGAACAAGCACAGAGTTCTCCTCTCAGAGGGATGCCTACACATTTGCAGAGGTCCTGAGTTCTTCCTTGACCCAGGACCACAGTGGCCAGCAAATGCAGACCTGGTGAGTTACAGACACCCTATCGTTACCGTTGTTCTAGACCCAGGTCAGCGCTCAGTTCTGCTCTCGCTCCGCCACCTCGCAGCTCCTCGGGCAGACCTGCAAGCCCCGGGGTGGAAACTGGCTCCTGGGGAGGGCCCGGGGCAGAGCCACCCCCGGCAGGCCAGGGAGGCACCCCCGCCAGCGGGCCGCCGGCGCCCCCCTCCAGCGCCCGAGAGCAATCCCAGCCCTTCCCGAATGGGCCAGACAGCCTCCCCCGACACCACACTTCCCCGATCAGCGTAGTTTGTAGAACAGAAAGGGTAAAACTCAAACTTTCTAAGGATTAGGGTGTAAACAATGTCAACAACAAGATTTTGTTTTAAAAGGATTTCTGATGATGCGGAGCAGTGCAAACGACAGTAACTGCAGGAGGGTAAATTCTAAGACAATACAGTTGGGCTTTCTTATGCTCAGGATAAATTCCATAAATGTATACCTACTCAATGTATTCCCTTTTGTTTTCATTTGTTACCATGATTTCTGACCCATTGGGCTTCAGGTCGACTTGATATGTCTGTATTTTGAAGGAAAACAAAACATCACATGACGTTATTTCAGGACACATTTCTCACCAAATCCGCTCTCCTGGAGCAGCATTTTACAAGTAGCATCAGAAAATTATTATGCTGTAATAGCTAACGAGACATCAACACATCCCACATTTAAAGATGGCATCATTAGGAACAAATTATTCTATGATCACTTATAAGTCTGAATTCTTGATTACAGTCATTAGCAAGTGAGCAAACCATTCTAAAGCAAACCTTTGGGCCTGAACAGCAGGTTCATTTGGGTAAAGAAAACATGTATTCCATTTGAATAAGGGTAGAAAAAAGCCTTGTTATTTTTCAAAATGCTTGTAAAAACAATTATTACATATAAAGTCCACAGAGAAACTGTTTAATAAACAGGCCAAACCAGCAAAGTTTACAGAAATGGTTAAGCACAAACTTGCTAAGGGATGGTGTCACCCTGGAGCGTAAGATTGAAAAAACCAAATTCATTACACTTCACAGGAAACCACGGCAAGCCCAAACACTGTACCTATTGCAGAAGACAGCGATTTGTCAGCAGGAATTCACAGAATTAACGCTGGGTTGGTACCATGAAAGCTGAAAGTTGGTACCTTCTACCAGTTAGTGCCCACAGCAAATTGCTACCAAACCGCACGCTCCCGCTGCAGCTACGGGGAAGCGTTTTTCGGGCTGCAGAGCCCGGTGCTGCCGCACGGCCAGGCACAGGCCGGACTCACGGCCAGTCAGGCCGGACTCACGGCCAGGCACAGGCCAGACTCACGGCCAGTCAGGCCGGACTCACGGCCAGTCAGGCCGGACTCACGGCCAGGCACAGGCCGGACTCACGGCCAGGCACAGGCCGGACTCACGGCCAGTCAGGCCGGACTCACGGCCAGTCAGGCCGGACTCACGGCCAGGCACAGGCTGGACTCACTCACGGCCAGGCACAGGCCGGACTCACGGCCAGTCAGGCCGGACTCACGGCCAGTCAGGCCGGACTCACGGCCAGGCACAGGCCGGACTCACGGCCAGGCACAGGCCGGACTCACGGCCAGTCAGGCCGGACTCACGGCCAGGCACAGGCTGGACTCACTCACGGCCAGGCACAGGCCGGACTCACGGCCAGGCACAGGCCGGACTCACGGCCAGTCAGGCCGGACTCACGGCCAGGCACAGGCTGGACTCACTCACGGCCAGGCACAGGCCGGACTCACGGCCAGGCACAGGCCTGACTCACGGCCAGGCACAGGCTGGACTCACTCACGGCCAGGCACAGGCCGGACTCACGGCCAGGCACAGGCCGGACTCACGGCCAGTCAGGCCGGACTCACGGCCAGGCACAGGCCGGACTCACTCACGGCCAGGCACAGGCCGGACTCACGGCCAGGCACAGGCCTGACTCACGGCCAGTCAGGCCGGACTCACGGCCAGGCACAGGCTGGACTCACGGCCAGTCAGGCCGGACTCACGGCCAGGCACAGGCCGGACTCACTCACGGCCAGGCACAGGCCGGACTCACGGCCAGGCACAGGCTGGACTCACTCACGGCCAGGCACAGGCCGGACTCACGGCCAGGCACAGGCCGGACTCACGGCCAGTCAGGCCGGACTCACGGCCAGGCACAGGCCTGACTCACGGCCAGGCACAGGCTGGACTCACTCACGGCCAGGCACAGGCCGGACTCACGGCCAGGCACAGGCCGGACTCACTCACGGCCAGTCAGGCCGGACTCACGGCCAGGCACAGGCCGGACTCACTCACGGCCAGTCAGGCCGGACTCACGGCCAGGCACAGGCCGGACTCACTCACGGCCAGGCACAGGCCGGACTCACGGCCAGTCAGGCCGGACTCACGGCCAGGCACAGGCCTGACTCACGGCCAGGCACAGGCCGGACTCACTCACGGCCAGGCACAGGCCGGACTCACGGCCAGGCACAGGCCGGACTCACTCACGGCCAGGCACAGGCCGGACTCACGGCCAGGCACAGGCCGGACTCACTCACGGCCAGGCACAGGCCGGACTCACTCACGGCCAGTCAGGCCGGCGCCCCGGGCGTGCTTTCGTCTGGGCAGGAGAGGAGGGGAGCCAAGGACTTGGTCGTGACTCTGCTCCAGTCAAGTGAACCGTCATTTCCAAAGCCTGGCTCCAGTGGGAGCAACCGGGACCTGCCTGCGCACCCACCTTCAAGCCTCTTTTCAAAGCTGTGACTAATCTTTACTAATTAAATCAGATGTTGTGGTTGAGTGACAGTAAATTCGTTAGCTAATAAATGGAGCTGTGCAAGGAGGAGGCTGGAAAGCTCTTTTTGGGACTGGATTAACAGTGAATGCTTCAACAAGGAGAAAACCAGCATAATAGGTCTACTTGAATGACTACACCTATTGGTAGAAAATAAGAGATGACTACACTATTAAGGAAAAGTAGTTCGTAGGGAACCCACACACCTCTGAAACGCTAGTTTACTTGTTCCATAAAGACAGAGAAGACGGCCCAGAACTAACAAGGAAAAGGTTTGCTGGACTGTCAGGCTCCAATAGGGTAGGGGTATGACGATCCCAGGCAGGATGGCACAAACGGAACGCTGCTTGGTGCTTGTTTGTTCCTGCCCACCACAAGATCACTGCTTATGAGAAGCAGCATTCCAGAGCATTAAGAACTTGGGAGAAAGACAGACCTTTTCTTTCTCTGCTTTTTGAAGATAGCTCTCCATCCTTTACGTGTTGAAAATTATCTCCTGTGCATTTCTGACTTGTGAGAACTACCAAAACTGTATTTTTGGTAGTACAAAATGTAATACAAAAATGTAAGATTTATTAGAGCTTTCCTGTTTTTCTCTAATTCCAGAAAAGGTTTTGGTGACACACGAAGTATAAATAAATATAGAAGCTTATAGCAAGGCAAACATCTCCCTCTCAGGTACAGTGTCCTTGTGGAAGCGGTATCAGCTCCTGTTCAGGCTCCCAAGGGCACTTTGATGAAGCTTCAGTAGTGAACCAAGTCCCAGTGGTGAGTCAGGGTCCCTCAAGTTCTGGTAGTCCCCAGAGTGCTGGCAGTGGCCAGTGGCACACACATACGTGCAGAAAAAGCCAGTGTCCTCACTACCTGCCGTAGTTTCTCAGCTGCTGGGAAGCATCCTATAGGCACGTGGAGTGACGAGATGCTTCAATCCCTAGCTAGACAAATTCCCCCTCACTAGAACAACTGAGCTTATTCAGGCTTTTCTTTGATAAAATTTGTCATGCCAGTTTTGCATCTCACCAGCAGTACGATGGAAACAGTTACTTTTTTTGGGAATCAGATGCATCTATTGTAAATTAAACAAAAGTCAATCTTGCTGGCAATGCCAGAATTAGCTATTTGAGGTACTTAAGAGTTAGAAGAGGAGAAAGTATCTCCAAGGAAGCTGATTTATGCTTTGAGTCAGAGAGCAAACTGCTGCCAGCGGAAGTAAAAGCTGGCAGTGAAAGACTGTGAGTAATTTGAAACTAAATCGTTACAGAACAGAAGATAATGAAAACTGCCAGCAAACAAGCCAGTATATTACAGAAACTTTTCAACCTGTGTCTTTAATGGTCTCCCTAATTTTCCATGTATCCGATAACCTTAGGTTGCTTCCGGAAAAAAGTATTAAGCACTGGGAAGTGGATCACAATCCTGACGGCATACTGTGCGCATACGTTCTGAAATGTTGAAGTCAGCTTTTAAAGAAGGCACTGTGGTCGACAATACCAGTGGCACATAGAGCCAAGATATCTAGGTCTTCGAGTTAAGCAAAATGAAGTCACTAAAAAAGGTCATAAAAGCCTACAAACAAATTAATTTAAGAGACACAGGTAGGTATTACTAAGTCCTAATATTGTACAAAACCAGTATGTTTTAGTCACTACGTGTGTGCATGCATTACAAAATGGTTCAGCTCCATAGCCTGTAAAGAAATAAAAACCACCCCAATCATGGGAGGCAAGTTTCAAGCTCACAGAAACAAACTCACGGTTTATTTGCTGTTAAATCTTCAAATTAAATTTAACACATATACTTATGTACAAGACATTTATCTGCACCCAAGTTACTTCTATCCAGCAGCTGACACAGATCTCTGAAGTTTGTTTTAATAGGATTCTCTGTAAAGGCTGACTGCAAATCCAAGACAAACTGTACCATGAGCTGTTGTTACACCTTCTACTGATAAAATGAGTTACAATTTCAGCTGATGAACTATGTTCCCACCTACTTACTTCCCAATTCTTAAAAGCTTATCTGACAGTTTTCATTTGTAACAAAGTTCTCCCCAGATTGTGAACCCTTCTAAAATAGGCACTCTCCCTTTGGCTGTATCATCTGCCTGCATTGTAATAAAAGACACTATGCACAGAGCCCTTCACTGGTTATAATTCTACCACTCACTCTGCCCTTTGCTCAAACATCTTCAACCTATAAAACCCCAAACAGTCCCAGGCTGAGACTGCTTTCTACCACGGACTGTGTAACACCTTCATTACTCCTCATTGCAAGTGTTTACTCAGCTTCAAGCACTGCTTTTCCCAGAGATGTCATATTGCTGACGAGAACGTAGTTTCCTTCTTTGGCACCCCCAGTCTTAAGGCAGTTCAGGAACAGAGAGGGGTAAATACTCAGAGTCAGCCTATACCGATCATTAACCTTCAACTGTCCCGATCAAGTTCACAGCCATGAGCCACTGCTCAGTATTTAATTACTTTTTGGTGATAACCAATAATAAGATGGAAATACGGACTTTTGGGAAAACCTTTACATACCTGTCCAAAGTTTTCCTCATCTATGCAAAACATGAGATCCAACTCTGTCGGGTCGTTTTCCAGGATCCACTTCAAAGAGTTGTAGTATTCGCTATCCTACAGCAGGTTATAATTAAACAAAGTTTGAAAACGTGAGCATTAAATGTAGTTTAACTTTAAACTGAACAAATAAAACTATCTAGAACTCCAAAGGGACTGGAAAAATGACAACTCATTCATTTGCACAGCTACTGTAAAGCAGGGTACCATGGATTACTTTACCCATAGGTATTTTTCTTAGATCTATTTTTAGAATAATGTAAATTTTCTTAATTGATTTGTAATTGCATTCTTATACAACGCAATAAATTAACTCTACATATCTATCAGGTAAAGAAGTATATGGCGGTGTGAAATAGTTGGCTAGAAAATGTCTTCTTGATAAAACTGTACATCCTTTTCAACACAATCTATACACCACTTCATTACATCGATAATACAATAACTGATTGCATTGTTACTATTAAAAGCCTTGATGTTTGCTGAATAAAAGACCCCTCTCATTTCCTAAAAGGGTTGTATCTTCATCATGTATTCCATTCATAACTAAAGACTGACCCAAGAAAAAAAGAGAAGAAGGTATGTGTAACCAGCATTTAATATTTCCACGCAAGAGAGCCAAAAAAATTAATTTCAAAGTTAAAACATTTTTTACTCAAGTATGCTTCAAGAGCAGAATGACCTGCCAAAACTTGGTGCCTATGAGACAGATAGTGGAAGCTGGAGGAGAGATTAAGCAGGTGAACTAGCATTTATCTCAGTAACTGAAAACGTGCAAAAGTCTAAAACATCCACAAGAACGACCTGTGTTTTATTCTTACACCGAGTATACTTTTGACAAGGCCAAGGACAGCTGTTGCGGAGCTGAGAATGAGAGGGAAAGGTTCCCCCACTACAATACAAAGGCCTGAACTTCCTTTTAAGATCCTCCTGGACACGTGTCTCAGGAGCTTGGTTTTAAGCTCGTCCTTGCGCTGCAGCCCCTCACTATCGGCGATTTTGCCTCCGGGCTGGGCTTGCGAGTCAACTGACTTCCTTGGCTGTTGGAGACAGCCCCGGGCAGGGGCAGGGGGCACGTGGCCAGGCTCTCGGTGCTCTCGTGCCCACCTGGAGCAGCCCTGCCCAGGGAAGCTGTGCTGCCCAACCAGTAACAGAGGGGAAAGGGAACGGCTCCAAGGCTCTCCACAGCCCATGGCAGTGGAAAAACTGGACAGACCTCAAAAGCTTTCAAAAACCAGAAACAAGTGTCATCCTGCTAACGTAATGGAAAGCATTTCTATTTAGCTGCTCTACATATCTGAAATGTACTGTGTTCCAGTACTGGTACACTGCACATCTAGGCTGGGCATCTGCGGGATCCTATTTGTACTGTAAAATGAAGGACAACAGTGAAGTTAGAGATTACTAACTTGTAAAACAATTTGTGTTCCTCCTAGGGAGTGCCAAACACAAAAGCACTTGATTGTAGTTAATGCTGAAGGTGTGAAAGCAGAGGAAGTGCAGGGAACACAACCAGAACGGACATAAGGGCACAAGTTGTGCTGCATTCCTGAAGTGTATTTGGAGAAAACGGTTTATCATTTGCTAACCCCTTCCCTTCCAGCACAACGGGCAACTCCCTGTGTTGCCAGGTCAGGACTAAGCCCTCGCATCTCCCCCTCCTGCTCCACAGGGTGACAAGCAAGCGGGGGGGGCTGGGGGTGCTCCTCCTAACGGGGAGAAGGCTGACACAGGGGAAAATCTGAAAGCATACTTAGATGTCTTATGTTGTTGCTCGCTGGCCTATTCATGTCTCTTCTCCCTTGTCCCTCTCCCTACTCTTAGTGCACTGGTACTGAAACCACTGTCCTAGCAGGGAAAATTTGTTTTACAAAAAAGTATGTACATATATTTCTAAAGTTGTTGCAACTATGACCTTGTGTCTTCCACCATGCAGTGTACTGGAGTTGCTAGCTCTCATAAATTTCCCCAGAGAAAAAAAATAGAGAATTGCTAATGCTGATGCAGTTTAAATGTTGTCTTACCACTGACTCCATGTCTTTCAGAGTTATTGGTTTCCCCAGCATCATCTTGTAAAAAGGTCTGATGAAGAAGCCTAAAAGAGAGGGCAGAGTGTTACCTGCACTGTTACATTTTCATCTCACAAAGATATGACTGCTCAAGGATAATACACCATGATCCTTCTTAGTGTGCCAGCAAGAAAAAAACCTCCTGGAAGCAACAGAGCTGTAACTGCTCGAGTTACCACGACAGGCTCAATTTCTGTCCAGGCACAGAAAGCCCGATTTTTCAATCTTGAGCATGGTGCCGTTCATTACCATGTGCCACTAAACATTAATGGTAGGCAGGCAAAAGATGGGGAGTTGAGCTCAAGGTACTGTAATCCATTTGAAACTGCTCTTCTCTCAAAGGAGATGCTACAAAACCAGGACAGTGAGCTTCCTCTTCTAACATGCTGCACTATTGCTAAACAAAATTTGATCAGTTTATAAATGGTTTCCTTGTTGTGGGATTTCAAAGTTTGGCAGAAATCAGATTTGCTCATTAAATCATTCAGTAATAATTTTACAGATCAAAATATGCTGCAATTGACATCCACACAACTGCTTTGGCTGCAGGTTTGCATGGAAATGCCTGATATAAAATTAGTGATTTTCCTTTAGGGATAGTGGTTATTTAGCAATCCCGATTCTGTAGTTTTAACACAAGTGGAGGAAGGAGCAAAACTTTATATGAAACGTATTTGTTGAGTAAGACACTGTAGTTTTGGAATCACCATTCGCATCAGGAATGCAATTTCTAACACTTCCAATTCCATTACTTTCTCTCAGACTTTGCCTCCAGAAATACTGCACTCTAAAGCCTATGAATCATTGAAATGATTTATTTCATTTAATAAAGATCCGGTAACAGTAGCATAGGCATACAGTGTGATAACTCACCATCCAGTAGCTTCCCATGATATACTGCCAGACCAGCAACCCGACCAATAAATGTGAAATACGACAGATGATCTTCATTACAAAGACCTGAATTAGGATTAATCTGAAGTGTGTAGTTGTCCCTTTTTTGGGGAAAGAAAAAAAAATATCTAAATAACCAAGTCTTTAAATAACCAGATATTCAGATATGTTAATAAAGAATTAGAGCTTAGGGCCATTTCCTGTTCATTTCTGGAAGTGTGTAACCATGTAATTTGTCCGTTCTCCGCAGCAGTACCTGCCAGTGTGTGGGCAGGCCCCCTGGTCAACACGGCCTTGCTGCTCGGCAAAGGGAACACACTCCTGCTGTGGGCTGCCCGGGGTCCACCCGTGGCGAGGGCCAGAGGGCCGTGCTAACCTCTCCACGGGATGGAAGCCTGCCGTCATTGAAAACGGTAAGATCCCGCCGTCAGCTTCAGCGCAACGGGAATTGCAGCTGAGCTATCTTTTCTGCTCTCTGTTGGGCTTGAGTTTTCATCACTCTTGCCAGACAAATTTCAGGGCTTAAAATTTTAGTGCTCTCTTTCGCAGCAGTTGCTTTTAATTCTTGAAATATCTGAAGGTACTGAAGAGGAATTAAGCATAGGCCCATGGTCCCATGCTGTCCCAGGATAAAGAACATTTTCTTACTAGCGTTTTAAACTGCACATACCCGAGATCTCTGAAATACACTTAACCCCCAGGATACAGGAAACAGCTGCCAAAGAACGAACATCTTTTAACTGGGTAACAAAGCATTAAGACTTGTGTGAAAGCATGCGTGTCAGATATTAGCGTAAAAGCAGTATTTTTAATTTGCAGTATATTCTTAACCTGTGAAGAAACATATAGAGGTTTTAAGTAGATTTCTTTTTCTTATTTCTTAAAGTAGTTAAATTCCTGAACCAAAAATGAAAGAATGTATTTTAGATATCTACAGCGAGCTATATCCCGTAAGTGGAAATAGTTCAAACCAAATGTGTATCCAGTGAACTCTATTAACAGAGAGGCAGTCTGTGCTGGCCAGTGTTGTGCTTCCCTTCAACAGCAGAACGTGTCTCTTCGGAGACACGAATGCGAGAAAACTCTCATTCTGCAGTCTTTGTTCATCTGCTTTACAATCTATTCAACACTTATCAGAGAAAGGAGTGAGCTTTATACTGACACAGAAACATCAAAACTACTGCCTGCGATTAAGAAAGCCATCCTCACTGTAGCTAAGTGCACAATGTGACATTACAGACAACATCTTAAACCAAATGTACTTTAGGCAATAGACCTGCTCTCTCATTTACACTGATGGATTGCTCAAAGACTTTAAAACTGGACAAAACCAAATTTAAATTTATGTAGGGCCACTGCTGTGTAACTACTGAAATGTAAATGAGGAGCTGTTTTATGAGCTAATTATAAAGGAGCTCTATAATTCCGGGTGGCAGGTGTTTCACAATGAGATGGGAGGGCACAAAAAGAGTCTTTTGTCTGACATCACTCCTTTCTCTATTACTAGCCTCAAAAATTGCAGTTTTGCTGCAAGCAAGGCAACACTGAATGTTGTCTTAATAATGAAAACATTTTATGAGATTTCACTGACAATGTGAAAGGTTCTCTGCGAAGCAAGTAAGAAGTGACAGTACAGAACAGAGAGATTTGACTGCTGAGAGTGTGCACTGCTGCACCATAAAGGATGATCTCCTTCCAGTTTAACTTTGCCTCTTATGCAAAATCTAACGTATATTCTTATGAATGGAAATATTTTAATGGACACTTACGTTGCTGAATATTCAAAGAGACCATAATAAGGGTTAAACATCTCCTTGGACAAGAGAAAGAACCATTCTCTGGCCACACCTCCATAGTCAAGTCCTTTTTCTGACTCAAATTCAATCCAGAGCCTGGCTTTTAGTACATCAGGTCTCTTCACAGACATGATTCTTCTGTAAGACTCCTCGAAAATATTATTTCTGTGTAGTTTCATCTCAAATCTGTTCGGTATATCAGCCTGTGTGAAGGAAGATTATATTATACTTGTTAGTCTCAGTAAATAGCGGTAGCAACTAAATGACAGATCAGACATCTGATGTCCAAAGTTTCCCTTTATTTTTGTTTTCCAGTGCTCTCTAAGGCTACAGGTCGCTAGCACATGGTGAACTAGGTAAGTTCCAGGATAGTGGTTCATGGATTTCTATGATAATTGACAAAACAATGAAAACAAAAAGAAAAGTAACTAACAAAAGAAACAAAAGTGAGAAAATGATTGATATTACTGTGCCCTATTTTAAGGGCATTTTAGCTTAAAATGGTATCAAATGCACAAAACTTATGCAACTGCTTTACTCACATATCTGTAAAGGCTAGAACAGCTTTTCACAACAAGAACACCTACAGTACCATACATGCAAACAGAACTGAATCACAAAGATGTAAATAAAAAGAGAATCAGGCTGCCAAAATGTTTTGGAAGTTCTGTCTAAATAGGAGGGAGCTAACACCCATTATGACTTAGCCCAGGGAGCTCAGTCTGGGAAACACAGAAAGAACTGAGTTAAGAATTTGTGGAAGGACGACTGGATGAACAGATAAATAGGACTGTTACAGCCATGTATAGTTTTCCTGATAAAACTGACTCCAAACAGCTGTTTCAGAAGGGTTGCTTTTTCCTGACAACTGAAGTGCTTAGTGTGTGCAAGCACTGGTCAGACTCCAGGTGAAAATTCAAGGTGCTGTCACAATAAACAGGTAAAGACATTGGCAAGTCCCTCTTCAAATTACAGCTGGTGTGGCCAAGGCTGCTTACTGTTAATTATGAGCGAGTATCACACGCAGGCTAATGCTGAGTGCTCTCTTACATTAAAGATGTTACTGGGAATCCTTTTTTTCCCAGAACAAGAACGCTAGAAGCTTGTGCCAGATCCAGCACAACTGTGGGCTCCGCTCTGCCAACTCACCCCAGCTCTGCCCTGCGAAGTCCGCTGTTGAAGATGAAGTATCAAACCCCAAGGCCATTTTCAACCTAAAGGCTTTTAAACTAGCATACCACTTAGTCTCAGCTGCAATGGGAAATAGTGCCTCATCACTCTGACTCTGCATCCACGTGGGAAAATGTGAGTCTTAAAGATTGGTAAATGTTTTTGATGAGAAATCAATGACATTCAAACTTTCCCTCATTTTTTTTGGTTCCTACTCAACCCCTTGAGGAGTAGCACCATCAAGAAAAATTGGCAAGTGTGTTAGAGAAAGATAGAACCCCATCCTGTATCTACGCTCGGGACAATCTGTTGCTTCTCCCAGACACAGCATAATTGATTCCAACACAAAGCAGCACATTTCTACTCACTGGTTTCTTTAACTTCTTCCGGAAATAGTCGTATTTCTGTTTGAACTCCCTGGAATACGGAACTGCCTATCAGAGAGAGAATCGTAAATACGGTTTATTTCAGCTATTTAGCAGTTTGATATTCCAATGTTATTTAAACAAAAAAGAAATTTAAAGTCATGCTCTCTACGCACGTATGCCATAGGTTCGTCTACAAAAATCCACCATGCGTGAAGTACATAGAGCAGCCACAATTCTCCCATTTCTCAGTGTGTAATTTGAGTTAAAAGGTATGAAAACTTTCAATCCAGTTCTTCTGTTTATCATCCACTTACCCTCATTTTTTGTCTTCTTTTAGGAACAGAAAAGAACAAAAACAATTTTTAACAGAGAAAAAGGCATGGAATGTGTTTCTGCCATCCATGTGTCTCACTAGGAAATAATGAGCATGCCGTACGATACTGAATTTTTAAAAGGACTAGTAGTGTCAGTACGGAATATGGATTTGCACAGCTGAAAGTGCTAAGCATTGGTAGGTGCTACTCTAAAGACGCAAAATGCAAAGAATTTTGAAAATGAACCTAAGAACAAGTTAAGGGGCTTCAGTAAAGCTACGACATTAACAACAATCGCTGTTTGCCCTCCAAAAAGTGCAGGACACAACGTACACCTACACAGCACGGCGAACTAGGCAGGGGAAGGTCCATGGCTAGAAATTATCTTTTCAGCCCAGTGTGAATTATTAATCTAATTCTTAATAGTTATCAAACTATCAACAAACTGTATCATAGCTATAAATGGCTTATAATGAAAATATATATATTCATAATGTCTTTAATCGAGAATCTGAAAGCATTTTTATAAACAAATTAACATCCTTCTGAACCAAGCACAAGTCACTGTGTAATATTTATCTGAATACTCACTCAATGCAGCTGCCTGTGAGTTAGACCACGTGTTTAAGTAACAGCAACACAGCAGAACAATTTTAGAAGTTAAAAAAAAAAAAAAAGGCACAGTGAAGATTGTTAGAATTACATTAATCAGCAGAGCTGGAAAATTTGCTTCTGGCGTATGTAAACGCGCCTTACCAAATGTCACAAGTCTCTGAAATATTTATGTGGATTTCCAGCTACCTGAAAGGCCTCTCGGGCACGCACGAGGTTCAACAAAGGTTCTCAGAGTTCTGAAAGGCGTTTCTATCTTAACACTGTGCTGCTCCTTCCTGCCTGCATAGTGCAGAGGTACGCGAGGAGCTGACGCTACGCTAGAAGATCGCTACGACTGATGTTAACCCAAAGGCCGCGTGCTGGCCAGCACAGGGGTCAGGAAGAGGACAGTGTTCTTCCCTGCTACCTGCTTGTCTTCATCAGACCCCTCCTCTGCTTTTGCACCAGGTAGGAAATGCATACAGGTGTCCAAAAAAGCCAAGCCTTTTAAGGCACCAGGTGGAACCAGAGCCACAAGCACTGGAGCGCGTCAGCCATCGAGCAGGAGGCGGACCAAAGGCCGCCGCGGTCCGGACTGCCGCTCCCAGGACTGCAACCTCCACTGCCCAGCCTTCAGGAGAAACGGCCCTAAACCAAAGCTGGGAATCAAACTAACGAACAGAAAGAGGCTGGGAAAGTGTCAAAGATTTGATGTTGTTTGTTCCATACTAGGTTATTTACAATATCGAGAAGGGTGGAGAAGGAAAAAAATCGGAAGAGTATTTTACACTTACGTTATTTTAGATGCAATTGATTTAAAATCACATTTCCTCCCCTCTCCAATTCATCCGTTTTATGTCAAAAGTAAGCTAAAGATACCACTCTACTACTTTTGCCCTGGAATTACATCATCACAATAAGCAGCAAATACAACAGCAAAAAATCATGTCAAAAATCTTAGATTTTTTATTTTTCAGCCAGGGATGACATCACTAATGGATCTCTTTCCGAAACCACATTCATCATCCCCACCTAGTGCAGAAAGCTTCAGGTTGCAGGAGGAGAATGGAACAAACGAGAAATGATGGGTTTCTGTGTGCTTCAGCGCGTGAAATGCCATTCAGGCTACTTAGCTATGCAGCTTCCGAAGGGAGAGAGGCTCACGCAGGAGCAACACAGTATAAAAAACGAAAATCAGCCAAACGGCATCGAGCCTCTCCTTGCCAGGAGCCTTCTCCGCCAGCCAAAGCAGAGCTGTTCTGCAATTTACTGTCATACCCCCCCGTGAAGAACGCTGCCTAGGCGCTCCAAGGCAGAAGCCGACTTCCCATGCCCGTGGCTGCCCGACAGGAGCCGCACCGCTCCGCTGGACACGGCCCCTGCCCGGGAGGCTGCTGCCGGGGCGCCTCCGCAGCCAAGCCCGCGGCCCAGCCGGGCACCGCGCGCGGCACCGGGTGCCCCAGGGCTCCCCAGGCAGCCCCCCGCCGCCCTGGGCCGCGGGCTGGCAGAGTCCCCAGTGCGCTCCAGCCCGGGCGCACGGGACCAAGGGCCCCGGAGTGGCACCACCACTCGAGTGCTGGGGAGGCGGCAGCAGCCCCGGGAGCCCTCGGCGGGCTGTCCCGCCGCGGCAGCTCGCCCTGCCCTGGCAGACTGGCAGGAGCCGGCAGCCGGGTCCCCCACGCCCGCCAGGAAAAGGCCAGGCAAGGGCGAGCTCCTGCCCCCCGGGCTGCTCAGCAGGCAGGGCCCGGCCCGAGCCGGGGGACGGGCACGCCCCGCTGCTCGGTAAAGCCCCGTGCCGAAACCGAGCGGTCGGGAGCCACGGCACTTCCTGGGAAAAAACCACAGCAGTACTTACTGGACCAGTAATGGCTGGATTCTGCAGTCTGGGGTCTTCCCACTGGGTAATTTTATTATCTGTAAATAACAAAAAAAAAATAGCAGCATTACTTCTCTGTTACAACACTGTGAACTTATGTTGTTTTTTTCTCCCTACAACTGTTTTTCCTACCATTTCCACAACTTAGTATTTCAGGGTTAAAAAAGGCTGCATTCACCCATCTACAGCAAAACCCCATCACACTGTTTAGTTGAAAACACTCATTCAAAAATGCAGAACTACAACAGAATCCAGTGTATTTACACTGCTTTTATTTCAACGTCTGTAGTAGTAAACATGTTCTACCTGAACATGGACTTGGATTCAACTTGTATTAGAAACACACAGACTTCATGCCTGAAAGGTAAAGGAACCCAAAAACTTTGTCAAATGACAGGCTAAGTTTACTTTTTTGAAATTTTGCATGAAGATAGCCAAAATGTAGTACTTTTAAAAGACAGTCTGTATTTACGTTTAGAGGGAATAACATCTTAAAAAAAAAGAAAAATGTCCTAGACACTGATTTAATGAAAAGTTTATAGGACTGAGGGAGGCAGAAAGATACAGTTACAGTGTAAGAGATCATTCCGTTTTGACCAAAGGAGATTTTGGCAGTAACACGACAGATTCCAGTTCTTTTCATCTACAGTTTTTAAGAGCACCAGGAGGGTGACAGGTTATACAGGACCGCGGTAAAACTTTCCCTGCCTCCGCACAACCGCTCCTCACAAGATTCTGAACACAACAGAATCACAACAAAATGATGATGTTGCAACAATAAGACAATGCTCCAAAAACCAAACTAAACCTTGCCATTGCAGGTGGCATCTAAGTCATTCACGTCCTGCACTGGAAGGGCAATAACAACACAGCTGTGTGCTACGTACACTGCTCTGAGTTATGAAACGTATACTAAGGTTGTAGTCCAGATTTTAAGTTCTGTAGTTGCTAGGTTTGGGAATAAATACGCTAAATGTCAAGAAAATTGTTTTTATGGCTACTGCAGGTAAAAGCAAAGAACCAAACCCACTTATATGAAAACACAAGTATGTTCCACGTTTCTACATTTGGGAGAGACCCACAAGTTTTGAGAATCCCAAGCTAGTTTTAAAATGGACTGGGATCTGGAAGGTGACATTCATTAAATGTTAGCTGAAGAAAATTCAAAAAGATCACAAGAGCATTTCAAGGAATTTAATTTATCAGTTAATTTAATGCTAAACCGCTATTTTATTTCCCTCTACACATAAAGCCTATTTAGTGCTTATTGGAATCATGGAGGAAGGCCGTTAGACTGAGAGCTCCAGAAACCACAGGAGAGCCACAGACCAGAGCCTGTGACGCCTCATCTGGCCCTCTTCATCTTGCTTCAGTCTGTTCAGCCAAATTTCCTTCTGCAAAGTTCACTGGTTTTATACCAATTAATTTCTTATACCTACTTGAAACTGGCAGCCACAAACGATGGTGGTCATTTTCCATGAAATCGAAGATAATCCAACTGGAAATGACCGCAAGTTTGTCAATTCTTTCTTATTGCCCTACATGCTTAAGAGCGTATGATGGTACTGACAAACCTTTGTCTAATTTTTTTTTCCAGAGTATTAGAGAGATAGAGACTTCATGCTGTAAGTGCTTAAATGCCCCAACAATAAGAAGGGTGTAACGGGAGCTACTCTACCTGGAGCTGTCGCTCACGATTCCCTGTCTTACCCAGAGTGGATGTGGATAACAAATTCATTCCTTTTGCAGCACATTTTCCCAACTCTACCATCTCTCTGGAGTCTTCCCACAGGTACGACGCTACGTCTTTCCCCATAAATCGGGCTCTAGGGCCTTTGAGGATTCCCTCTCCTCTGTTTGCTCCGGTCCCTTCCTAAGTGGCCCACTACCCACGCTAGACGCAGTATTATCACCACCAAGACACTGCCAGTGCGGATGAGATTAGGATTACTTCAGGTCTTATTTAAGACGCTCCTGTTGATACATCACAGGATGACTTAACTCGTGTCCAGCTGATGAGGTTTTTTAATGCCCTTTTCAAGGAAAATTCTGCTAATTATTCCCATTCTGAGCAATACTTTGCAATTCTTATTAAACAGCATCTTACTTCACACTACAGCGGCAATTTGCCAAACCCATTCTGATTTCTCATCCTGCTCCGGTGAGCACCTCTCACCTCTCCTACACTGTCGCTTCCTGCTGAACTAATGAATGCATTCCCCCTAATTAGTTGTTCAAATCACTAATGAATATATGGAAGAATGGTGGATCCAAGACCGACTTTGAGAGGAACCCCTTTCATATATCCATCCCTCTGTCACTGAACCACTGATAACTGTTCTGAGTATGGCTGGAACACCTTTGTGTTTTCCTTCATGCTCCCTTCCAACAGGTAGATCATACTTTCCCGTGAGGCTCCTAGGAAATGCAAAGTATAGGTATGCTGCAATAAATAGAGAATACTGTTTTACTCATGGACGGTAAATAACGTTGACTTAGCTAGTTAAGGACCAGTCATGGAAAACTAGAGGCTCTATTATTTTGTTAAAAGATTGAGCGCTGCAGAAATTAGAACTGTTTACAGTTAAAATATAAAAATATTGCATTTTCAGGCTACTAGATTACAAGTCATACCTAAATTATTCGTAACAGTACTTTGCTTTACTAGTTCGTATGGGACGCTTAATAGCAGCACTGCTCCGCAAGAGGAGGCTTCTGTGCTGGTTGCGTTAGGCTTGTTTTACAGTTTCTCTGGAGGGACGAGAGAGCCGTTTCAGAACCAGGACAACAGTACTGGCCAGCTGTGCAGAAGGACTACAAAGTGTGTCGGGGAACCAGGGCATTAACAGTGGCTGAATCAGTCGCCTCTGCCAGCATCTCTATTGTATTCCAATACTGGAGCTGACTGCAGCTCTGCATTTAACTGACGGCTTTAGCGGAGGAGGGCTGGAACGACGGCCGGCTGATCTTGCGTGCCCGGGCCGAGCCGAGCCGAGCCCAGCCGGGCTGAGCCGAGCCCAGCCGGGCCCAGCCGGGCCGAGCCGAGCCGAGCCGAGCCCAGCCGGGCCGAGCCGGGCCGGGCCCAGCCGGGCTGAGCCGAGCCCAGCTGGGCTGAGCCGAGCCCAGCCGGGCCGGGCCCAGCCGAGCCGAGCCCGGAGAGCCCGCGGGCTCCGTCACAGGCCGGCCGGGAAACCAGCGGTGCCGCAGGCGCCCCCGAGCGCGTCCCGCTCCGGGGGTGGCACAGCCCCACGCCAGAGGGCACCTGCTGGACACCGGCTTCTGAGCCGCTGCTAAAAACCTCCGGTCAGAACAGGGCCCAGAGAGAGACTTCGGATGCAAACAGATTTAGTTTGATAGCGATTATAAATTCCTAGGGAAATTCTAATTAATATACAACTCTTAGAGACTAACACGTACTTAAGCAGATTTAGGATACCGAAAAATTAAAACTTTTGAAAGGAGGTTGGGAAGCTCAAAAATTATACTGCTATTTTAAATACGGCAGCTGTATTCTATGAATCCTCAGTGGCAGCAGTTTAGAATAATTTGCCATATTTAAGTTTCCAGGTATCTGTTGGGAAAAACAATTACAGACGATATAAAGAGTAATAATTTGGAACGGATGTTTGGAAGAGGTTAATCTTATCCTTGACAAGTGTATTATTTCTAATTTTTACTTAAAACTATTTACGCAATTCCAAAATTCGTATTGCTTTAGAGCCAGTCTTTTAATAATTACCTAATAATGTCATATATACAATATAAATAAGCATCAGAGTCAGTATTACTGATACTGAAGGAAAAACATAATACTGTCAAATATGTGTAATAGTTTAAGATTTTAATTATTTAATTTTTGCATATCATATATACCCTCTTCTAATGGTTTAGTGACTTATCTGTTTCTATGAAGATTATGCTATCAGTAGAAATATCTCATTATAAAGTCCAGCTGAAGTCTTTAAAAAAAAAAAAAAAAAAGAAGAAACAACCCCCCAACCTTTCTGGGCTGCTTTATTTTCAAACAACAACAAAAACTCACACAGTAGTTCTGAAATGCTGTAATAAGACAAGTCTACAATGAAACATCACTTACAGTAGAACTTCACTAACAGAACTGAATAATATTAATGGGCTGGGTGCAGTTTGACATGCTATAAATAGGAAATAAGATCAGAATCAGCACTGCCACAAGGCCTTCTTTAAAGGGGAGGAAAGAGTACTTATAGGTGCTAATTTCTCCACTGCCTATATGTGGAGTTGTGGCTATATGATCTTTTCTCATCTTATTTTCTATTCCTAGTGTATATTTTAATTTATTAAGTGCAAATAAGCCATGGGATCATCAACAACAACAACGACGAATCCAAAATATCAACAAGAACAAAAGAAACCACAAAGAAGAAATGTTAATGCTTCACAAGTCAGAGAGGGACAAAGCTTGATGAGCCAATTAAAAGCAAGCTTTCAGTGAATATACAGTACCGTATGAGGGCACTAAGTCTCTGGTATCAATGTCTCCACATATCAACACCTGGCTTCCTAAATGAAGAGTAAAATTATAAAGCTTCACTTCAATATTTATTACCTCCCTTTGTCTATTTGCTGTAGTACCTGAGTGCTTACTTACTATGGTCTATATAAAACGTTCTTCCATCCAAATGTATTCTTTCCTCCCAACCAGGCTGGATTTGGGAAATAAAAAGAGAAGAGAGAAAACAGGTGAAATACTACCACTCTCACAGAGCTTGAAGCAATACATTATCAACTCCTCCTTAAAGTATCTGATAGATTCTTGTGAGGTAGAAGACACAAAATGATCACAGATGCATTATGTCAATGCCAAAAATCTAGGAAGATTCAAAGAACTGGCTATTTACACTGGTAACTGTATCCAATACCAGAAATATTTTTTTAAAGCTTGGAAGTGCGAACTCCTTCCACCAGGGTTTATACCTATTTCCTACTACGAAGAAATGAACGCAAAGAGTAGATTGTCCATCACTGGTGAGGTCTGAGAGTTTCTGCTTCTACTTCTGAAACACACGTGGGTTATTTTCTGTAAATATGTAAGCCAGGATCCCATTACAGTGGGACACGAATGTCTAACCTAGTCCTCAGTTCCCCCCTCTCTATCCATTCCCTTTTCTCATCTTCCAAAGGACTGTAGTATAGAAAGGAGAATAAATGGCACATTGTTAGCATATGCAGTGCTGTCCAGCTTGGCACTCATTCCACCTGTATGCTCTCCATGAGCTTCAGACTTCTAGAAAATATAGATGAGAAATTGGTTCATTTCCATCTTTTTTGAGAAACTCTTGTTAAATTCTGTAACTGTTCTCACCTCACTCAAAAATGGATTGTTTACCCGAGGAGTTTAAACCTGTCACTAATTATATATTTCCAGTGATGTATGTCAGGCTATCCTGATTTCACTGCGTGTTTCACCTCTTGCAATTAACAGAATAAACTGCTAATTGGCCCTTCAGTTACTCCCATGCAGTGCCTCCTACCTAAGCAACGTGTCCTCAAAGATGAATGCATGCTCAGTATATCTGAAGAAGTGCAAAAGAACAGCTACTTCCACAGCTGTTTGCTCGAAGACAAACCGCACTGCTGCTGTGCTGTAGCCAGGAAATGCATCATAATAAATCCGTTCAATCGCGCATAGTTTTTGATCCAATCAGTGATTCAAGATGCTGGACCTGACAAATGGCCGAGCTTGATTTAAATACAAGGCCAAACTTCTTGCTCGTCAAGACAAGGGCAGTGAGCTTTGCCTCAGAGGAGGATGTCTGATCACGGGTGGCAACAGAGGCTACTGCCCCCACTAAAGGTAGCATCCATCGGTCCTACCCCAAACCAGCCCTCGTCTTGGTCTGCTGGCAGAGTGGTTCGCCTAAGTAACCCAGCTTAATGAAAATGAGTGGGATTAAAGACTTGATTTTCCAACGGTTTAAAACGAATGTAATCTGCCACGCAGGGTGGGACAGAAGCCCCTCCTGCTGGCGTGGCTGTTTGCAGGCGGCTTGCCCGCAGCACGTGCTGAAGCACCGGGAGTGCTGCTGGCTGTCAGTGGCGTGTTGTCACTAAGGTTTCCAGCACTGCAAGTACAGTTTCAATGGCAATTTCTCAAAAGTACACTTAATATATGTGAGGCAATGAGCTGAATTAGCACTACACCACAAAAATCAGCACCCTAGAAAAAAGTGTTAGCTTTCACAGCCTAGTCTCTCTCATTAAGGATGTAGTTTTTAAAAAACAACACAAAGCTCTCTATTTGACTTGACTAGAAATCAATGTTATACTTTGGTTACAAGTATGACAAAACTTCTGATATTAAAATGATCATTTTCTCTGCAGAATATGGAAATGTTATTGAAAAAAATGAAAATGTATTTAAATTGCTCAGTACCAATATATGCTAGTACATTGATAGAGCCCCCTTTGAACAACCTGCTCCATTTTTTCCTAAAGCAACAGGTCGTTATCGGAAGGCACACAGTCAGAGCTAAAACCCAGGTAAGTTTCTTCAGAGCTCATGCTTCAGATAAGCTTGAAACGTGTGATCATTTCAGAAATACTGGGGGCTGGCTTCAAAGAGCCTGACGGAGTCACAAATCACAATAAAGCTATGTTTATGTATTTTAGTATCTTCAGGAAAGAGATGACAGCAATGTATGTGTTCACATACAGTATATGACTGCAATAATAGATCAGCTCACATAAAATAGCAGGTATATATTAAAACACACACACACACACACACTATCACTTACAGGAAGAGGGCCCAAATCATTAGGGTTCAAAGATGCTTTTGATCTCAAATGCACCGGAAATTTCAGTCGTGGATCCTCCTGTAACAGAAATACAGAACTGTAAATTCACAGATGAAGTTAGATCTACAGACAAAGTCAAACACAGAATTGTCTGGAAAATCAATCTTTCTACATTACAGTTATTCTTTTATTCTTATTTTTTGAGGATAAAACAAAACATAAAAGTGATAGAACATTTAGTATTTGGACGTGTCACATACTTTATTAGGATTTATATACTGAAATGATTTTTCAAATGTTAAGAAAGAGCTAGTTAGTGTGGTGTAAGACATTGACTCCATTAAGCGTGTTATATCCGAAGATGTGCTTCAAAAACCACAGCTCTGTTCTTCAGAATGCATGCACTCCTGTAAGCGGCATTTAGGTACACAGGCACATTTTTGGCTCTTAGCAACGTAAGAGAAGTAAGCCATCATATATCACAAAAAGGCTGAAAAAGGATGAAAATGAGCTCTTCTATTCTAAGGCACAGGTATTACTGCGTCAGTGTCCAAATGAGGCAAAAAAGGGCAAGTAAAATGCACAGGTATTATTACATCAATGTCCAAACGAGGCAAAAAGGGGCAAGTAAAATAGGTCACAGAAGACAAATCTAGACAAAAAATGGTTGAGATTTCCACACACGTAATTTATCCACGTGCACCTGGGACCATCATTAAGAACCACCACTAAAAAGATGTCATGTAACTAGTAGTCACTGGGAATCTGAATGATGCCTAACAGGGTGATGTGAAATGCTACGCTGTCTTTGCCGTTTTTTTCCTGGTGTAATTTTATTTCTTTAATTTGTTGTCCAAAATGGCAGAATTATTTAAAAATGGATCCTTATGACATAAAACAAGTAACGAAATTAATTCCGCTAACTGAAGAAGATAAATGTACATTATATATTAATAAAAAGCGGTGCTAGTCACAGTGAAACACAATACAATCATGGACAGTCTCAAATTAAACGACAAACCAAATCTCCATTGTACCATATGCCTCTCAACCCCAAACCTGGGGAATTTAAAGGACCGTACTTGTATGCGATGATCTGCCAAGTATAAGGAAGGCCCGATACAAAATGCAAAGCAGTATTGCCCGGTATATGGTGTATAAATACACCACGGTCTAAGTGGGCACGAAGGAGTAAGCTTCCTTGCCGCGGGCGCAGCAATGGCAGCACCACAGTCACCTCACAGCTCGCCACTCCAGCCTATTGCTGCTGCACGGGGGGGTCCCGGGAGATTCCCCCCACGGCGCTACAGCAGGTCAGGCTGGCGAGTCTCCCCTTAGCAACAAGGCAGGTGCCACAATAAAGCGGGGGGTATCCAGGCAGGAAAACAAACCCAGAAACATTTAAGAGACGGCAACTGATTTAAAGTTCATTACCTAGAGCGCTTCCCTTACCCACGTAGTAGTTTTAGTATTGTGGTCAATGAAGAAGGGCCTGCCGTTGGGTGCTATCCGCATCTCCCAGCCCGGAGGAAGGAAGCTCTGTGCGACTTTGTGCTGGGGTTTAGGAGAGTTGTAAGGTGAGGGCTGCGGGGACTGCGGGTTGGAGAGGGTGTCCTTCACCGCCCTGCGCACAGGGGAGTCCTTCATTCCCTGAGGGACACGAAAGGCGCGGAGATTGGGCAAGTGTCACCAAATACTGTAAACTGAATACAACTTGGTTTCACGGCAAATAGCTTTTCGTTTCGGATACAATTAATACCGGCATTAAGTGCTGGGACTGATTTCCTAGAATTTACTTAGCCAGATGCTGTTCCTTATACCATACCGAGCTTTTTGCTGTGAAGGACACAGTGCTTTATCACTTCCCTCTGCAATGATAAAGTCCATGGAATTTACATTTGATTATATATTTTACTGCGGCTGCCCTGTACGTGTCAACATTTCATTTTACAAAAGAAAAAATAAAAGCATTGCTTCGTGCCTCATGGTGCAATATATCTCACCTTACAACAAAAGAGTATCCCAAACGAGGTGGTTATCCACTTTTCTATCCATTTCTCAACTATAACTTCAGACAAAACAGTTAAATATGAACTTAAAACAAGTTCCTAAAATAAACAGAGGTTTGCAATTACAGATTTTTGATACTTTTTTTTTTTTTTTTTAATAAATAATCACAGCCCTAAAACATTACTTACATGATGTGAGTTCTGGGCTTTTTTCAAATTTCACTTGAAAAAGTACATTTAGATGCCTAACCACCTTGAAAAATTTGATCCAGATTTACTCACCTTTGAAAACACAGACTATCACCATCTGAAAATAAGACTTAAGCATTATGTTTAAATGTTATTTGCGTTTTTACTTTTCAGTTACTTTCCAGAAACATGCTCTCATTAGCTGACAGGTAATAACAGCTTGTTTTTCTTCTGGTTTTGCTAATTATTAAGATTCGGTAAATCTATGCATGCCTATTTTAGTGATTCTCTAACTTAGCCTACATTTAATTACTATTTTTTGAGTATTACATTAGAATATGAGCCACCAACACAGATATTTACAAAATTATTCTATCCTTATTTGTGGCTTGTTTTGAGCTGCATTTGGATGGAAATGCAGTTAGATAACAGTGTTAAAATTAGCATTTAAAGCATCTTGCATTAAATAAAAGTTTTCCATATGTTTTTTAAACAAAGAAGTTGAGCATTTTACAGTAACTATTTAAACAAGAGAAGTAACTTCTAAAAAGTGGAACTAATTTTTTTTCTCATGGTTGTATCCTTTTAAGATTTTAATACTAATAAGACTACACCTTTGTTGTTTTTGTTTTGTTTTGTTATTTTAATGCAGAGGCAGGTATAAGACCACAAGTCGGTGCTCTTTGGCACCCTTGTGGTTTCTGAGCACTGACAAACTACCCACCAAACTGATTAGTTGAATATTCTGAAGTGAACACTGGTTCTGTAGCTATGGAACACGTTACTGCCCTTAAAAGCTGGCTCAAGTTTCAGATGCTTAGTCAGTAACTTCCACCACCTCAACTCTTTAAAATATCAATAGGGAGAGGAATGCCCTTAATGTTTCAGTTGAAGATATTCAGAATCTTTTAATTTATTTAAATTACAGTACATTTGGTCATCAAAATTAACAATGGCAAGGGTAGTTTTAAGTAGTTCAATGTTAAAGGGTTTATCTGAATTACATGTAAGTAATTTATTTTAAATATGAACTATAATCACCTCACTACAATCTGTCAATCCTACATTTGTTTAACAACTTGCTCAATAGCTGGAATGCATTTCAGTATAAAGAACAAATAAGAGTGATACATAAACTGAACTAAATGTTACAATCTTCACTTGGTTGTTGGCAAACATTTCCTGGGGCAAAGAGGACACATGTAGGAAAGATGGTGAGAGAGAAGGAGAAATAAGGTGCCATACTTTGAAGAAGAAATTTTAAAGCACTTTCCTCAACACAGCCATGTTAGGTGATTAAAGAGTTTTACTCACACTCTCAGAAGACACACATTGTCTTTGACTGTGTAAGAAGCCACTTAAGTTATTCTTCAGACATGTTGCAGTGAACATCATTCAACAATAATCTGAACTACTTTTAAAGACACTCAAAAGAAATTAAATACCCTTTTGAAAGGCAAGGAATACAAAATGCAACCAGTATCTTAATTCAGAGATTTTCCAAAGTCAACTACATGTGTTATTTTCAAAATTATCAGCATCAAAACCCATGTTCCAACTTAAAAAAATATTTCTGATTTTATCCACTCCTAGCACTTGAAGGGAGTCATAATAACATGTTTCAGGCATGTACACAGATTACATTTTAGCTATACCAAACCAAATAATCATATATAAAATACATCATTCAATGATTGAGAAAGTTAAGTGCTACCATTGTACAAGACAGAGATCCAGATGGATAATATATTAGGGCAAAATCACCAGTAGGGATAAGTGGCTGTGTTACATAACTGAGAAGGAAATAGAAATTTCTAAGGACAACAAAGAGTTGGAAGTCGAACATAAATGATCTCTCCTGCTATCAGCATTTCTCACCTCCAGTGGAGCAGATAAAGTTACTGTGGGTGAGCTGAGGCTACGAGGCCGTCTTATCTGGGGTTCACTTAAATGGTTGCTGCTGTTTGCTGTCGACCCCACCATACCATCTTCTGCAAGCTATTTCAGAAGCAAAACCAAGTTAGCAAGTCATCAGAAACACAGTTCATCCAGAGTTAGGACACTCAAAAATATGTAATAATTATTATTATGAAACCCTGAATATAGTTTCTCAGAGATCAAGTATTTCATTCCACTGGAAGGGCAAATAATATATGGCACTACTAACAGATGAGCACAATGTTCACATTCAGTCCTAAGAATGCATTTGCCTCCTTTTATTAGTTCTTATGTACCTCTGTAAATTCTTTCCATTGTAGCAATCAAGTTAATCTGTACTTTAATACAGTTAAAACAAGTAACAAAAAAATCCCAATCATTGCAATTTTTCATGATTATCCTGAGTTGTCATGACAATGCTTAGGATTTTTTTTTTTTTTTAAATTTCAGATTTCTGAGGAGCTGCTTTGACTGAAATTATACTCAATACGTGCTAAGTGCTTGCTATCTAAATGAAGCATTATAACAGATCTTCATACCTGCATAATAGGCCTTGTCCATGTCGTGGTCCGATTGTTATGATTGACATAGTAAGTGCGGCCCTTTGCATCCTTCCTTTCTTCCCAGCCCGAAGGTAAGCCTGGTGTGGTATGTACATAGGCCACCGAAGGCTGTTCAAGCAAGAAATGACTGCATTGTTATTTTATAACAGCTAAAAAAATACATATTCCTTAAGCTTGTTTACAAAAAGGAACTTGTTAACTTATAACATTCTTAAACACAACAAACATGCAGAAAAGTATGGTTTCTGATTTAAAGGAAAGTTCTTCATGGACCTTTGAGTCAAATATTTTTTTCACAACAGATCTTTAGATTCAGTTTTGTACTTTCATGTAATTTGTACGTCACACATAATGGCAAAAAGGAATTTTGTGTATTAATGATTTTTTCCTTTTATTAGTATGGGTAAGTACGAATTGAAGTAACCATTCATCCGAGTCAAGATTTCCCAAGTCCTGTTCGCTTCCTTACCGCAGATTGTCTTCAGTCAGTTGCAAGAGACTACTGTGGGTTTAAAGCCTAAGTTTAACCATTTTGTTATAATTACAAATGTTGCACTCAGGGTTAAGTGTCCCGAAGACACAAGATACACCCCAAATTGGAGACCCAACTTTAGTATGAAAAGATTTCTTTTACTAGAAGTTCCACAAGACAGACATTGTTCTGATGAAACTATACAGATAACATAACAGTGCCGAAGGCACTAACTGGCATTAAACAAGTTACGTCACTATGCAACACAACAGTTATGTTGTTGTGTGTTGTCGATGCTGTCTTGTGTGAGGAAAATATTCAATGCTTAAACCAACTGGACATTTTTTCCTGGGACATTCAGAGAGGAAGAAAAAAAAAAAAAAAGCATTGTAGCACAAACAGCAAAGCTTCTTGAAGTAAAACAGCCTAGAGAGAATTCTTAACACTGACCCTCATCTGCATCTGAATATGTATTTTAGAAGGGGAGGATGCCCAGGGAGTTATAGATTTTTAGACCATACACTCTACAAAAATCGACATGTTTATTAAGCTTAGTCACTTCCACGTTTGGGACTCCTTTTAAGACGTCACTTGTTCATATAACAGATTAAGAACAGATAACCTGGTTGGCAGTGAAGCAAGCAAGAAAATCAGAATACTCAGGATAAGCTTTTATCTCGAGTACTTGATGTGAATACTAAAAGCTAGAGAGATACAGGAATTTCTATCCTTCACATCAGATAGAAGCAAACTGCTCAACTCTGTGGGACAGTATTTTTGCTCTCTAAGGAAGCCTATGCATTAATAATTGCATCAAAGACTTGGCATGTGCAAGGTGCTTTCCCGTATCTGTATCTAAATCCTTGGTTCAATATGCATTTAATTGATTTATTAATCAGATTAAAATATACAGTCATATATCAATTATCAGGAGACTATAATGCTGGAGTTTGCTTCACTCTTTCAAATATCTGCCTTGATAGAAGAGGATGATGAAACCTAAAGGTCTTCATCACATGACGGAGTAAAACAGTGCCTGAACTGCACTGCCTTGCCAATTTGTGCAGTACTTTAATTCAACATCAGTAACATTAATTCCTTTAGAAATAGGCAGCTTCGCAGTGGTAAGAAAATGAACCAAAATGCCTTCATCTAGCAGTCTGCTTTTACCAAGGCTTCCCCTGAACAGCCTGTAGCAATGTACATGGCATTTTTCTTAAGAATGTAAAATGTTGATTTACCGGTTCTTAAAGAATCCCGGGTTTAAATGCCGACAAGTAGAATTGCAAAGCAGCACAGCAGACAAAGGCAAAACGTGTACTTGAACTGCTAAACTTAGTGTGTTTGTTGCACCTGAACATCAAATTTGCTACAAGCTCGTGAGCTGATGTAACAGTTAGTGCCAGTGTTCAGATTAGGAAGAAATGGTTCCGACATCTGAGCTAGAGAAAGGACTCGCATCAATGTCCAGGATGCAGAAAGCAGCTCTGGCTGCTGCCCCTTCCACCCCAACCACCTTCATGAAATCTTATTAGACTGCTTGGAAAAAAGGTGACCTTTTTTACAAGTCCTTTCCTGAAAGAAGCAGGATGCTGCATTTAAAAACAGTGTTTGAAGACAGACTGACTGTAAGCCCAAACGTCTGACAAGAGGCAGGCACTGCAGGGAAGGAGGGAAGGTGCCCCCGAGGCACACACGGTATTGTGAATTGCCCTTCGCCCTACGGGGCAGATTACTCCAGCGCCTCCTGCTCCAATTCACCTTGCAAAGCACTACTGATTAGGGTAACTGCCTACTGCACAAGCCAAAGGCATGTCTTTATTTCAGGCAGTAGTAGTATTTATGTAAAAAAAAAAAAAAATACCCAAACCAAAAAACCAACACCAAAACCGCTTTTTTTAGGTGATAAGCCCAAAATGGAAAGAATTGTGATCTACAGTCATGCCTTCCTTCTGTGCTTCCACAAACATGTTATTATGCATCAATCATGACAGTATATCACTTTCAGTAGTGCAATTTCAGGGCATCTCATGGAGAAGATGTGCTGCTGTGCTAGATAAAGGAGAAACAGAGCATACAGACTGAAGTTTTGTGCAGAACATTAGATCTTTTGCTGCCACTTCATGCGCAGTCTTTGCTCATTTTTTTAATGACAGGCCTCACTAACTCCTGAGAAACAACTTCAGATTTGGAAGCCAATACAAATTCAGCACTACACAGTAACAGCGTGATTTCAGCATCAATCCCGGTATTTTATTAAAGGTATAAAGTAATTGCTGGGCAGAGCTGATCACTAGCACAAACTCCAAAGAGCAGGCTGTCTCAGCCTCACATCAAGAGAACGAGTGAGGCCACGGACTAGGGGCAGACGCGGGCTTTGAGACACACAGTAAGGAGAGCAACAGTTCAGAGCACGCAGAAGTGCCTCTGCTGCGAGCTTTGAGTGCTCTGCCCACATCCGAGGTGACTGTCTGAAACACTGCTGCTGTTTCAGGGCCGGTTCACCTGCAAGCAGCCTCAGTGCAGGCAGATCAGCACTAGGGGCAAAGGGTTTTGGAAATGATGAGTGCTCGAAGGCTCAGTCCTGCCAAGTGTTAACATTCAGGCATGGCTCTGAGCTCTTAACTTCTCACTAGGTGACTGCACATTGAATTCTGTGAACACCTGGAAGAGATGTTGGACTACAAAGCAGTTCACATGAGTAAGAGATTAAAGATATTTAAGGAAGGCTCTAAACTTTTTTAGTAGGATCTTAAAATAAAATAAAGGAAGAATCAGCCTTGAAAATTATCAAATACCTTCATATCGGTTAGAAACCAACTGTTAAGCTTTCTAGTTTTAGAAAGGAGTCTTCCTGGTAAAGTGCCAACTGCACTGATGACCCTTCTTCTGATGGAAAAAAGCTAAGCATATTTAACATAAAATTTTCTAATCCTTGTAATTAAACTAGAAGTCCAACACCTTATGAAACAGCGTTATTCCTACCTTACCATACTACTGCCCTGAACAGGTAAAGAAATATTGAGATTGGTCTCCTGGGAATTCGGGATAGGTTCTTCCTCTTATCTGTCAGGGCTATCTATAATAAAGGATACTTAAAAAAATAATTTTTCAAAATGTAGCCTGATAAAACATTTGTTTTTATCCTCTGGCTGTGTACTTTTAACATTCAATTTATTTTAAACCTGAAGTAGTCACTATCAAAGTACGTATGCAAGCACCATTTAAGAAATATATATGGCAAAGTGGTGCACAAGAAAACTGGAACAAAGTGGAATTAGCAAGATGCATCAATTCAGAGTTGATGCACTAGAAGCTTTTCCTTTTTTTTTTGCCATGAAACAGCAAAAGGAAGAGGAGTAAAAGCGTAAAATGACTGAAATGTAAAGTCATGTGAGAAATATCAAAAAAAGATTTTTGATTCTATTGAATTTATGTTAAGGGAAACATTTTTTGCCAGATTCAAAAAGAAGTAATTAGCAACTGCATTATGGCTGAGAGTATTACAAAAACCCCCATAACCACTTACAGCATACCCAGGATGAATGTAAAATTAATCAGTAAAACTTAGATGGCTAAGTACGATTCCCGCTTCCAGTTCAGTACCTGCAATCCATCCATTAATATCTTAAACTCTGAAATTTTCAATGTTTTTCCTTATTTTACTGCTTAGATTCCTCAGTGCAAGTATTCTGCATTTTATCACAAAACACATTTTCTTTTCCCAAAGTCTACAGTGCCCATGCTGCGCGCTGCCGTGCAGACTCACAGGCGCAGGGGAAGCACTGAGCCACAGCTGCAGGTACGTGGCTAGCGGGCTCTGCCTCTGGCTCTTTACCTCTATTCACCACACTAACCACACAAAGCAAGCAGTTACTCTGTCCACATCTTTATAAACAGTGATTTGTGGTTTACAATCATACCCTTTAAAAATATTCATACAGTGGAAAATTACTAGCCAAGGATTGAAGATGTAATTCACATTGCATCGTAGGATCTGATAACTCTCCTTAGGCCTCTGAAGGCTCCTGCTGAAACTGAGGATACCTTCTTTTTCTACACGCTGCATTCTTTGCTCCAGCAAAGTAACTAACTGTAGTTCTTGTCCGTGCTTCATATTCTTAAAACCTCTTTCCCCCAGACTCTTGCTCAAGTCAGTCTATTTGCTTTTTAAGAGAAGAGCACAGCTGACACAATGAGCTGGAGAACTGCCTAGATAACCAAGGAAGGAAGTGAGAAAAGATACTGAACGGGTCAGAAAGTTGGCAAACTACAATAGGAAATAAAAAACCAGAGGAAAACAGATGGGGAAACTAAGCAATACTCACTGAAACAAACTATAGGACTGATTTATTTCTTTCCTAAATAGTCAAGTGCTGGAAAGACCATGCTGTTTTCCCACTCGTCTTAGTTCACAGAGCTGGCAGGCAACGATAAGGAGAGTACCTTTTCCAGGACTGTTCTAATGGTTTACAAACCATTAATCAGCGGTCAATAAGGCCACAGTAAGAGGTCTGAAATCAGCCCACAGACACTGTTCTAGTTAAAAAATAGATAATTAAGGTGTCCGACAGCCTGGGGAGAATTAAGAAGGCTGACAGTGATTCACAGATTTTCTGGACCAGTGGACGACTGCCACACATTCTTCCGTGTTTCCTCTATCCAGGCTATTAATATTGTCTACATTTCAGAGCAAACATAAGGTCTGGATAATTCAGAGATTTTAAATTTAAAAATGGAATCATTTAGTTGTAATAATACACAATCTCATCGTTATACGATGGCAAGTTGCAAATTATCAACTTTGACTGTGAGGATACTGAAACACGTGAAAGATGCTCTGGTTATGCGACCTGCTCTTTCCTTTCTCTCTAACACTCTACCAAAATAAATTCAGCTATCGGCAGCCCTTCTCCTTACTCTTCACTGGGGGTTAACGCACCCCATAACGCAATCTGCAAAACAGAGTTTGCCCTTCAATCTCCTTTCCATGTGTTAGATACCACTGTAAAAGATATTCTACCACAGGGAGTAGAAACTTGGGAGATTTATCAAGAGCCTTTTACCCAACAGCTGAATGCTTTTCAACAATTGTCTTCAGTAAATAGCGGGGGGGAAAAAAAGTACTATGGTTAGGGACAAAATGTCATGAGAAAGGAGATGCTGGGACACATAATGTATTAACATGTTTTGCTCAGACTACTTTTACAATGGAGCCTTCACAGAGGAATGGTAAAGGTCCTTGGGGACTCAAAAAAAAAAATCCTGAAAAGCAATGTGGTTAATAACCACAGATATATTTACCCAAACATGCACTGTCTCTACAGTCATCACCATCTACTTCATCCCCCACACTCAAGTGGCCAGTTTACTCATCTTCTGCCACTGACCGATGTAAGAAGCGAGCCACGCTATCTGTAGGGCGGAGGTAATATTGTCACAGTTACACATACTATTTAGCGTATCAGTTTCTCACGAGCTCTCTTAGACTTGGACCCACGGTGGGGGGAAATCTGGTAACTTTAGTTTGCATGAGTATGTCCTTTCACAGCCTCGCGGGGCCCCAGGGCCTGCCAGGACAAACGGCAAGCCATCCGTCTCCCACCCGCGGCCGGCGGGAAGCGGGGCGGGTGGGCCAGTGAGGGCCGGCGGGCAGGGCGGCCGGGCTGGGGCGCAGCCGGAGTGGGGGGCGAGCAGGGCTGTGGCTGCCCGGGCCCACCCCGCTCCACCCCACCCCACCCCACTCCACCCCACCCGATCCCACCCCACCCAGCTCCACGGGGCTCACGCGCGCGGCAGGGCGGGAGCTCGGTCCCACCAGGGACCCTCGCCGGGCCGGGCTCCCGCCCCGGAGGCAAAACTGAAGCGACCCAGAAGCTCCTGCTATGGCCAGGTCCCGTGTCCACAGCCGAGGGCTGCCCGAAGGCCAAAGAACCGCCACCTCGGAGGAGAATGCTTTTGCATTTAAATGCGTGAACCCTGGCCAAGGCCCAAGCGCCCTGCAGATGGGGGTCTGGGAGTACAGGCCCACGCGGGATGAAGTGGGGGGCGAGGGTCCCATTAGTAAGCTGAAATGTAATCAGGTAAAACATCTATGACATAGCTGTATTAATTACGAGTCACTGAAAGTTGAAATCGGTTATTTGCAGCAAAACATTGATATTTTGCTGTAGAAAGCACACTCAAGCCAGGACGTTCTGCCAATAAAAGACCTTCTTTACAGTACAGTTCACACAGCACACATTTTTACTAATGATTAACAAGTCAAGCAGCTTTCGCTAAGACAAGAAAAAATTTTCTATTTGCAGGAACAAAATACGAGTGTGCTCCTCTGATTCTAAAATTCAAAACCCAGTAAATATACAGTATTACAGAACGATGCATCAACACCCAAATTAACATCTGACATTACCACACATAAACAGGAAAGATACCGAGTTTAAATTATATTTCTCCCCCCGAAAGAAATTATCTCGCAGTGCATATATTCATAAAAGCTGTTTATGATAGTTACTGTAAAATGATTTCCATGAGATAAGTTGCTTCAGACTGAAGTTTAATCACATTAAAAAAGACTGGAATGGTTTTGACAAAGTCCAGTATAAATTAAAACCACTTTCCTCTTGTACTACACTTTCAGGAAATCACCTCCAGAATTTTAATGGATGATCAAAGTGAAAATCCTGCCTTGAACTGCCAAACAAGTACTGGAAAACGAAAACTGGCACTAAATAAGACCATTAAGAGCTATACGACATATCACTGTACCGGCATGGTTCCCAAATTAAGTTCAACTTTAAGAATTAAAATTAGTCTAATTAGAGTATGGGAAGAGAGATGCAAGCTAAAAATACAGCTACATGGATACTAATTTGATGTCTAATCCCTGGTTCTTTCCATATCAGTTTTTAAAGAATCAGGTATTGTTTCTTTTATTTTTTTAGAAGCCTGCAGTATATTTCCTTAGCACATAGCTTTGTTAAAAGTCAGTGGTATATCCTCATAATTAAAACATGCTAATATTTGAATGAAATGCACTGTTTTGAGACATTTTGAGAAAATCCAAAACAACAACAAAATATAACTCTCGATTCAGTGGCTGTATTTCATTCAACGCACTGCTGCTTTGTGAAAAAAAGTTCCTTATTGTACAAGACCTAAATCTACCCACATTTTATTTAGAGATAGTGCTTGATAAAGAGTAATATTACCGTTGGTTCCTCACCACCTGTGACAGTTGAAGAACGAGCTCTCCTAGATGGACCGCTCTGCTGTTAAATGATAATTAATGTTACAGATAAGTATATTTAGTGATGAAGGTCTCAGATTACTGTCACATCTTTAGGAGTAAGGAATCACAGACACTTAAATTTATTAAAGGACAGCAATTAGAAGGAAATAATGTTTAAGATAAAAGACAAAAAATTGATCACTGATAACCAAGTCAAAATCTCATACAGGAATTAATTTCAAGAGTTCTTGCCTCCAATTTCATATGTTCAGTATTGCTAATGATAATAATGTGACTATTTATTCAAAATGTAATATCCACCCCCCAAAACCCGCATATTTTGCACGTTCTGCCCATATGCACGGTACTTAAAACCAAAATGGATACATTCTGGTCATCAGTGAGTGCACAGAAGTAGATGAAACATGGAACTGATACTGTGAATTTTCAGTAAGGATTAACGCAGTCAAGAGCAGCACTGTATTTAGAAAGAAAGTATGTATTTAGTTGCTAGAAGATAAATGATCAGCTCAGTAAGGATTAAATACGGTTAAGATCAGTACTTTCAATTCTGCTGTTTTGAACATCTGCTCGCGAAATGAGTGGTCTACAATAATAAAGTGAAAGACGGATCACCAATCCCAACCTGACCACAGCAGCTAAAGAAGCCCAGGCTGCACAAAGTGATATTAAATGGGAAGCAGAACACCTCTGGAACAGCCTGCGTTCGGAGCCAACTTTGTCTAGTAAAGGGAGAAGACAGTTGAGGCGCAGCTGTACCGGAAACCACACCACTGTTTGCCCAGAAGAGGAAGCAAAGAGACGGCTAGTGCTTCAGAGGCAGTTCTCTGAACAGCAGCTATTGCATGCATCTGTAAGCAGCAAAGGCAGGTACACTAAACAACTTCTAGAACACGTGGAAAAATTCAACCGAGAGAAAAACACTATGGTGGTTGTAAATGTCTGCCCAGCAGCAACAGAAAGAACAAAGGAGAGACATCTGCTTTAATAAGAAACTTACTGATACACTCTATTTACTCAACAATTCCATAAGAAGGATACACAAATCTGTTACTTGTAGATACGTATGTAACGTACTGCTAATAAAAAAATTGGGAAAAAATCCTGGAAGTATTATTTTTTAAAATATTGCATTATCTTGAAAATCTTAACAGTTTTATTCAAAGGCTTATCTTGTACAACCCTATTTTAAGCAGCCTCTCTACAGCCTATCTCCTTTGCAATCCTTATACTTGGGTTGTATGACAAAATACATAGAATTTGCTATCCATTAGATCAAAGGTGTGCATGGTTATGATGTGAATGAGAATCTTATTTTACAAAGCATCTTTGTATCTTTTCCTGTTTGAAGAAACTACTTAAATAAAATTACAGAAGCTGCTTACCCACATCAGTCATATTAAACAACTACAATAGATGCAATTCTATTCACTTCTATCATGAGGACTGTCATAAAAAGGCTCCTTTTACCCACTACAACTAGGTAAAACACCAAAACTTTTTAATGTTATACAGATTTATATATGCCAAGTAAAATCAATTTATGGGACACAAAAATATGCCTGACGAAGAATCCTGTGGCTGCTACAGTTCCAAGTATAGACGGTGGTACTGCCCTCTCCTACCCCAGATAAAACACCCCTTGGAGGATTCTCTCGCTGCTGACTATGTATCTAGGGCGCAGTAAACTGAATTACTATGTCAGATAACTCCAGTTAGTGCGACTGTGCTCTCAGTCTCAAAACATCTCTCTCCCTCGTGGACGTCCTCATTTTAGTTGCTGACCACGATGGTATTAATTTGGCATCCATTGCTATTTGGGATAGTCATATGCCCATATCGGTTACTGATCTATATCTGACTACAGCTGACCAGAGAGAAGATATTATTCAGAATCAGGCAATGTTCAAACAAAAAGAAAGAAATAGAAGTTAGCTTTGGTTTACCAAGGATAATTGAGACTGTTCGGCAACCGTGTCTGTTACACTGCAAGATCTTAATCTTGAAGAAGGATCTCGTTGCTGGAAAAAAAAGAAAGATGTCTTTAAGTTAAGATGTCTTAAAACAAGGAGTTTTAATCAGGAATTTCACTCTTCTCCAATTTAATCCAAACCCCTAAATAATAATATTTATGTGGCAGTGTCTTTAGTTTTAATACTTCTACAGAAATGCGGCAAGCAATGAAAAATCTAAATTCTCAGCATTCCATCATGGACTGTTACAGATTAACTGAGAAAATAATATACTCAATTACAAGACAGATTACTTACGTTTTACAAGTACAAAGCTCTTTGTAACAAAATCTCCTGTAAACAATTTGTATCTCCTTCTGTTTTACCAGGTAGTGGTATATACAATTTCTCTGTTGACAGCGACCCTTCAGATACATTATTAAAAAAAAGGGCTCATTAATTTTTCTAAAGGAGAAATGCCAACATGAAACAATTCCAATAGAAAAAAAGATGAGATTTTAAAAACAGTGTGAGTTTAAAACCAGTGGCAGAGTGCAGCATGTCAAAACACCAACTCCAGGGATTCGGGTTTGAACTTGGTGAGGATCAGGTGAATTGCTACGAAATTCTTTAGAAAAGTCAAATTGAAAGGGTGACTTTTACATTTGAAGTCCTGCCCCACGTGATTTTGTAAGTGAAGGGAAATCTTAGCACAAAAGCAGGCCAATTTGTCCGGCAGGAAAAAAAAAATTAAGGGAGACGGAAAAAAAATTTGAGCAAATAAACCAAGAAGATTGTTTCTTAGACAAAAATTAAGCAGATGACACTTCTCTTAAAACCAGACATTGCAATGAAAACTGTAGCTGTAATACAGCTCTTCAGGAAGTGAGTGCTCCACCTTGGTTTCATTACTTCTTGGTGAAAATCACAGGTGGCATGCATTATTGACAAAAATTAGGCATTAATAAAGAAATCCAAAATCAAATACTATGAATGAGACCTCAAAGGCTTAAAAATTTAATTACTTAGAAATTCAAAGTATTTATTTTAAAAAAATCAAGTCTTAATTTTCCTCTTTGCCTTCTGGTTTTTTAACTTCCCAAGACACATCCTTCACGATCATGAATTAGAAACAAAAAAAAGTCCTAAAAACCCCAGATGTGCTAGCATGTCTGCTTGATACTAACATGTAACTCCTCACCAACTTGTGAGATTTATCCAAAATCAGGTGATCAAGCACAGTGGTGTCAAGTGACTAAATTGCAGTCCATATGGGACAGGCTCAGATTATAAAGGGACAGCACCTGAGAAGTGACAAGGATCAATAATTACGTTTTCCACTTGCTACAACATTGGTTTTGGGACTCACAGCCACAGAGGCTTCTTCACATCCCAGAATTACAAGGAAGACCTCCAAAGATAATTTCAGCTTTTACTTCATGATGTTTGCTATGCAATTAAAAAATGTTTCAGAAGGAACTAATGTGCCACGCTAATATTCTTTGCACTAAAGAAGGAACTAATGGTCTGCCTACATCAGTTAGCAAGCATTGCTCTTCAGAATTAATACTGGTCTACAAGGTGTAGTCCAATGTAAGAAATACATCAGTATTACAGCAATTTTGAAGTATCCCCACAGCTGGTACCAAGACATCTAGAAGGCATTAGGCCATGGCATCAGCAATTAATTTTTGTCATTCTCATGAAAAATCCCACATAATGAGAAGAAAATATACAAATACTGTAGTCATGAGAGCTGGCAACAAATAAAGCCATGAATAGAATATTTCAGTTGGAAAGGACATACAAGGATCATCCAGTCCAGCTGCCTGACCACTTCAGGGCTGATCAGTATTCCATAAAATCAATCAGCATCTAAACAGCACTTCACTAATTCACACTACAGTGTTTTCTCACACAGCTTTCCTGTGTGGTTTGATTGAGGCTGTAAGCTCCACATACAGAAACAAGCCTTGGATAATTCTTAAACTTATTACTTTGCATAACTGATACCTTGTCTTTAACCAAAGAGTAACTAACATAACCCTTTTCTGGATATTAATGGTACGAGTATGAATATGCTAATAAACAGGCAAATGACCTCGCCTGTGTATAACCACTCACACGGGCACCCTTAGGGACCACTGAAAGGCAACGAAGCAACATCATGAAGCAAACCACGAGAGACGTTTCAGCAACTCCAACTCTTACTTGAAAACATCAGTCCTAAGAGCACATTCTGTTAAAATCAGTGCTTAAAAAAAAAAAAATAGAAAAAAGAGATGTAATTACACCTTGCTTCTATGTGATGCTAAGATAGATGTGGAAGGATTTGCCTACCAAATGTACTGAGCAGCAAGCGTGATGTGCTTTCTGGCATTACAGAGATACACGAGAAGAGTGACAAAATACTTTTGACACACATACAATCACTCCTCAGCTATCTGTTGGCGATTTAACCATGTATGGGTGTCGAGACCCTGGAGCGGGGTCTGTCCAACACCCAAAGCTCAGGCTGCATACGCCGGGCACGCCGCCGGGGAGACCCCTAAGGGCTTCTGGTTGCCGCCCACAGCCTGCAGATCCGAGCCAGCTTTCTGTAAAGCCACTTCAGAGCTGGCGGCTTTGGGAAAACCCCCGGGTCCTTTCCCCCCTGCAAGAGCCCCGCAGCTGAGCTCGCCAGCCGTGGGGGGCCCCGTCCAAGAGGGAACGCCACGCGGTCACGCCGCAGCACACGGACCACAGCTTGCGTTCCGCTGCCAGCGCCGAGCTTCTCCCGGCCACCCGGCCCACCCCACGCGAAGCTCGGGGATGGCTCCGTGCTTGCCAACCCCCAAACCGGGAGGATTTATTAGCCCCGGGAAGCGGCTCCCGGCCCCCGAGGTGGGAGCTGTGGGGAGGCCGCTGCAGGGAGGGGAGGGGAGCTGCGCCGACGTGAGGTGGGCCGGGGCTGCCCGCAGCCCCCCGCTGCCCCCCGCTGCCCCCCGCAGCCCCCCGCTGCCCCCCGCTGCCCCCCGCTGCCCCCAGGCTTCTGCAGGCCCCGGCCAGGCTTCGCGGAGTAGCCTCTCCGCCCGGGTTTCTGGGTTACCTTCGGTATCCCCACACCTCGCGTGGATAATGCACGCCGACAGAGATCTCAAATGCTTTGGCCATCTCTTACTTTGCAGGTGTGCTCTGATTACAGTTTTTATTGCACTGAAAAGGAAGATGCTAGCGCTTCATGGCTCATAAAAGAGCTATTTTGTCTGGGAATGGAATTATTGAATTGTTTCAATTAAGATAACTTTGCATCTATACCATCTATTTATTTATTACAGTTAATGTGAAAATAATGTAGGCCCTGATCTTGCCTCTGAAACAATTCGATTAACCATCTGCCCTCCAGGTGAAAGCAGTTACCTACAAATGCACAAGTGACACTCGGTGCAGCTGGGTGGCCATCAGAGCTATAATTTGCTAACTAACCTCTAGATAACACTCAAGTCATTATAAGACACCTACTGCATAGGTTCTCCACGAAGAACCTGCACCTAACCAAGACTCTATTTAATCAGAACAAGAGTAAATATTATTTCTTATCTCTTGAATTGCACAGGTGCCCTGATGGCATATACCAAGAATAAAAAAAAGAATGAATCACAGCATGATGTTCTGTTTAATACTTACAATTCTTTTTTCTTAGTCAGACATAAACTTGCAGATGGGGGAATCTCTTATTATCCTTATTTTTGTGTTCTCATCAGTCTGACAAACTAATGATTAACACCAATATAGAGAACATTTTTTTGCTTTACTTCAAGTAAACCCTTAATGGTGAGTGACAATTTTTTCCCAGACTAGCCATTTGCAAACCTGTAGAGGATTTCACCAGAACTACCTACTTCCAATTCAAAGCCTTTGCTAGTCTTATAATAGTTGATCCAATAAACTGTGAGGGATTTATAAAATCCTAATATAAGAAACCACATGCTTTAATACACAAGTGTACAGTTAAAATGCTGAGTTTAAGAAAAATTGTCATGTTGTAAAATGGATGATGATTCAAAAAGCATTAGCAGTTTTTCCTCCTTCCTTTGGAAATTCTTAGCTTGATACTCTCTAGTATTACATATTTTGTTTCACTGAAGGTATAAACAGTGGCACAGTCTGAAGTTAAACTCACACAGAAGAAAACATGACATCTAAACTGAGGAATCCTGTTGCTCAAGGCAGTTTGCTCTATGGTGAAATTACGCTGCATTTTCTGGAAGATAATTTTAACAGTATGTTCAGGTTTTCCTGAGACCAGCAATTTCTACCCATCCGTGTAACTGATTCAGATTATGTCAAACTAAGAAAAGATTGCAGAAATAGAGGTCTATATAGAAAGAGCCGCATGTCACGTACAATCAAAGAACTGAGTTGTTCCCCATTGGAATCAGGAGTGACCTGAAGTCGTCTGCTCAGCTCCTCAGAGAGCTCCTGGGGACTGGTACGGGATACTGGAGAGGCAGGAGGAGGTGGCAACGACAAGCTTAAGGAATCTCCACTTGCACTTGCTTCCTCTGAAATGGTTTCCCAAGGCTAACAAAAGAGAAGAAACTATCTTAAGGATTTATCAAGACAGACCAAGTCTTCTCTCCCTCTGCCTTCTACGGGACCACCTCACTGTGACAAATACAGGTGTGATGATACCCAGTCTTGATATTCAGTGAAACAAGCCAGTCCCTAGAACACAGACAAACATTCTACTCTGTGTGAAACAGTCACAGGGAGAAATAGTTTTTACGTGTACTTCAAAATGGTCATTTTGATGATGACACAATGCCTTATGATTCAACACAGAAAATTATGTAGATGAAAAGATGCGTTAAAAAGGGCTCATTAAATAAATTCTACTTGAAATTTTGTTCAAGATGTAGCTAATTCTGCATTCTAACTAAAAACATGTAAGAAACAACTGTTAATTTTAATTTAGAATAAAATGCATAACAAAAAGTACTCATTAGTATCTGCAAATCAAATATTCACAGGTGACGAGTGCAACAATAGTTTCAGCTATCTATTTGTTGCTGTGAATAACATTTAGTGAACCAAAACTAGCTTTCACAAAGAATTTTGTCTGTGATTCACATAATAAAATATTCCTTAAAGTTGGATGTGATTAGAGCTTTGCACAAACTCTCACTTAGGCCTACAAATATGTACAAAATTTAATTTATTCAGTCTAGCTATAAATTAAACAAACACTCACCCTGATTAACAAGATCTCAGAATTCTAATTATAATCAAGTATTTTGGGGAAAACCCCGATAGGTTCTCTTTCCTCTAAATCACACCACGAAAGAAACCTGAAATACATGGCAGTCTGTTTCCCTTCTTTTTACAACTTATCGCACCGTTATTCAAAGCACAACATTGCAAGTGTTTCTATCAACATATATTTAACAAGCAATGCTTGGAATTATAAATGTTTCTCCCAGCATTTGCATAGTATTTAATGTTGTGCATACATTATCAGGCACTCACCAATGCACGGGACCTCGAAGGTATAGCTCTGGTTAGGATTTTTATTGTGTCACTGGTATTTTAGTAAGGCAGTTCCCACAGACACCATGTAAAAACAACTATGTATGTTGTACAGTAATTAGCTTACAAATGAGAAACACATCAGCTTGCAGTTTAGTCAACCTCTTAAACCCGAGATCTTTACATACCTCAGGAATGTCTCCACTCTCCATAGGTTCCGGTTCCAAATCCTCACTAATGTGTCTCCGAGATCGGAACCGCCTGTGGGCTGCTTCTTGGTTTATCTGCCTGATATTGTTATCCGAATCAGATCCCACATCACTGGAAAGTGGGGAAATGAAAGCATGCGAAGGAGAAAAGAACAAGAAAATAACAAACGTTAAAGCTGAACACCTACTTTGTCCACTGCTTTCAGACCTCATTAATGCAGAATCATTACTCTTGCATATGCCAGGCTTCAGAAATAGCAGCCCATTTAACCCCTCAATCCAAAGTAAATAAAACTGCTAGCACTTCACTGATGTCACAGAATCACAGAATCCCAGGTTGGAAGGGATCTCACGGATCATCTGGTCCCACCTTTTTTGGCAAAACCCCAGTCTAGACAAGCTGGCCCAGCACCCTGTCCAGCTGAATCTTAGAAGTGGCCAGCGTTGGGGAATCCACCCCTTCCCTGGGGAGATTGTTCCAGTGGCTGTTTGTTCTCATGGTGACTCATTTTCCTCTTGTGTGCAATTGGAATGTCCCCAGCAGTAATGTGTACTTGTTACAAAACACTGGAAAGTAACATTCTTTACACATCCACGCCAGCTGAGCAGAAATGCAAGTCCACACTCAAATGTACTAACCCATCGTTACTCTTCCCTTCCTGTGATGACCAGAGTCATTCCTGAAACAGAGATTTTACCTTTGCCCCATCTTTATGTCAACTACTGCCTTCCTCTTTGCAATAGCTAAAGCAAATACAAGCTGTGGTGGCGTGGGTAACTTCTGGAACTGGCTGCATCCACCAGCCTGGCTCACACCAGCAGTGGTGGAAATGGAAAATACCCCAGTTCCCCTGATGGAGACCTGCCTGGCGTGTGGGTCTTGTCAGTGTGCACAGCCAGATATAAATCTCTATTTCAGGACTCCACGGGCAGATGTTGTTAGAAGGCAGTGCTGTATTCAAACCTCTCTTTCAGGATGAGGGACTGTAGCTTTTAAAGATGGTCATGATCAGGAAAAACTTGTTTGCGCAATCATTCTATCGCTGCACATTTTAAAGGACTATGAGAAATGCACTGCAGACATGGATTGTACAGCACTCAGTGTTTTTTTTCCTTGATGACCAACTTAGTATCTGAGTTGCTGGCCTAGAAGTTACGTTTCCTACTTTCAACATCACAAGACCTTCACTTACGAGAGTAACTGTCACTGCTGTAAATTACCAATAGTGGAAGAATAGTCTCCACATAAACATCTTGCACTATTTTTAACTAATACATGATTTCAGCCTAACTCTGAACATTGTCAATTATACATACTTTTGAAAATGCAAGCTTGCCAGAGCTTTATAAATCTAATCATAAGAAATATCTAATGAAGGCTTGAAGAGGAACTCCACACTAGCACAACCAGTGTACAAAGGTAATGCAGTCTATACACTGAATAAGAATCAGGTTCATCTCAAAGTTAGTCAGTTTAATTAAAACTTAATAGAGTTGACTCTTTTCCTTACCTTTTCAACAGTGTCTACAGAGGAAGTAATTTATTCCTGTTAAATTATTCGTTGAAAAATTCCACATCTGTCTCCCAGTATTCTAAGATATATTGTTAATGCACTGACTTCCCTTCCACTCCCTCAGATTTCTTAAAATTTCCCAGAATACGTATGTGTATATGTGATTTCCTGGGGGTGGGGAAGTCTCTTTCATTCTTAAAAAAAGATGTTTCCTTTTCAACTACAGATATCCAGCCTTTGGTTTTCAATTTACTAGCGCATTTGTGAACACTCTTCCATGACTAAAGTATAGCTTCAGATACATAGCACAGGCAAAACCCCATGATTAATCTGTTACTGAAAATAATAGTGTGCCTTTATAAACTGCTTCATCAAAGTCTTGCTTAAGACTTTTTCCATCCTTGAATTTGTAACTTCAAAAGGGTTATGTTTGCTGGAAAAAGTCACTATCCATACTGATAATTTTGCACACATCCACAGAACACTGCACTACACTGCCACTTACATTAAGCTTGGTCGATGCCACTGGGTAGTCCTATTGTTATGGTTGACATAGTAAGTCCGCCCCAGGTTGTCCACCTTCTCTTCCCATCCAGGAGGCAGCGGAGGAGGCGGCAACTCCTCCTGACGTTGAGATGCGGAGTCACTGGAATCAACCACATCCCATCCATGCTTAGAAATTAAGAAAAAACAAATTAAGAATTTTAAAGGCCAAGTTAAAAAGAAGTTATTTCATTATTGCTTACCTTAGTGCATAGGTGCAGATTCTGAAAATCTTCTAAAGTTCAAAATTACTTAAATGTAAACCATCCAGAAATCAAATAAACTCCATGGTTACAGTGTGCACCTCATTTTCAGTGACACAAAACTTAAAATCCCATCAGTCTGGTCCAACGGAGATTCCCAAGTGTATTTGGGTGGTTGCTTGTTCTAGTGGTAGCGAGTTACAGATTCCCAGTCAAGAAGCCAAAGAGAAGCAACTGCTAACTTTTGAACTCAGTGTATGGCTTGGGATGAGAGCCCTCATTGCCAAGCTACAGATGACTGTGGCACATGACTGGTAGGGCAAATGCAAGCTCACATTCGCTCAGACAGCCCTAAATTGCAGCTAATTCTGAAAATGGGTGATGGCTGATAAGGGTGCTGAGAGGTCTTTAAACCTGATGTGCTTGCATGAGCTTTAGTCTCTGCAAAGTCAGTGCTGCCAAGGAAATAAAGGAAAATGCTGTAACACCTATTCTGGAATGGCCTCTGAAGAAAAGGTACCTAATACAGACCATTATGTTTACAAATTACTTGCGTAGACTTTCTCAGTTCTACTTGGCATGACTTCCACTTCTACTTGATCCCAAACTTTGTCAGAGAGACTTTAAAATTCATTGCGGCAGCTGAAATACTTTGAAATACTTAAAATGGTTGAGAAAACACTAGGTTATGTTGTTGGTTTGTGGTTTTTTTTTTGTTGTTTTTTTTTGTTTGTTTGTTTGTTTTTTTTGTTTGTTTGTTTGTTTGTTTGTTTTTTTTTCAAAAAAGGGGGAAAAAAAAAAAAAAGCTGGAGAGGAGGAACAGAGTAAGCTGCTACTGACACTGTGACCAGAGTTTCATCTTTCAAGGTACAACTTTTTCTACAATTATACTTGAATCTTTAATAACTTGAATGCTTCCACAAGCATTAAGCCTTACCTCAGATTCATCCCTCTGATCACTGTTTTCGTCCTCCTGGCCACCGTTTTTAGGCATATAAGCCATCTTCAGTCTCAAGAAACCCTTCACACGAGATTTGTGGCTAGAAGACAAGGAGGTACATTTCATTCAACAACCCCTAAATACCTGCAAATAACAAACCTGGAAGTAAGTAATGTTTTAAAATACAAATGTCTTCCCCTCACCTTCTTGGTCTGAGAAGGAAATCCTTAAATGTGTACGGCCTTTCCATGGCTGGGTCTTCAGTCTATAAGCATTTAAGAAAATGGCAAATTAAAGGGCTTGCCCACAAGCAGAGAGACAAGTAGAGAACATTCACATCACAGACGCGGTAGAAATGCTCAAGACGTTTAAATAACGAAGTTTCGGCAGGCAGACCTCTCTCTACCAGCGCGTCACCATTAGGTGGTCATACACGGCTGCAGAAGCAGTCCACTAGATGCCACTGCAAATACCAGCGCTGGGCCGGCCCAGCTCTCATTTGTAAGTGTACTCGACATGCACAACTCAGAAAAAGGTGGAAATGACCAGTAAACAAACCCCTTCCAACTTTCTCCAGTCACCCAACAGCAGTGTCAGAAGAGGCTGTATCGATTTCAAAGTGGTGTTTTTTCTGCACGTTAGAAAGCGATGAAATAAAACTCCTCAGCTGGCTTTCATCTTTTACTTCAAAGAAGTTGAGATATTCAAAAATAATTAAGACTTCAAAAACTTTTGTGATGTATATAACTAATATTATCAGGCTGACAGATTACATCTTCTGATTTCCACTGAACTGTAAGTTTCATAACACCTTAAATCTTGAAAACTTTGTTACATGAGCGTTTCAGCTTTCTTATTGAGTAAGTTACGATATGTCTGCGAAAATACAGATGTTATAGGTACAAACCTAAGAATTTTAAAATGACAAGGTAAATACAAGAATTGGAAATCTGTACACAGACTTCATCTGTTGAGCGTTTGGGGTACTGTAATCGGTCGTACAATTTGGGCTGACAACATTGGAAGCATGAACTGTGTTACACTCGAAAGAGTAAGCACGTTATCATACACACTCTAGTAAAACGAGAGATTTAGTGTCTTGGATTAACACCAAACTTTCTCAAAACAAGCACAAATTTAGTAGATACTTTGCAGAATGTTGTGCCCATATGACATCCACTAAAAAACCACTGGTATATCTGTAAATCCCTTCCTGGCCCTAGCCCTACAAGCAGCAATACTTCTTGAGTCCAATTCTTTCATTTACCCTTTCTAAATACAGAATAGTCTAACTCCCAGACTATTATTCATTAAAAGCTTTGTTGTCAGTTTATTTCAGAGTCAATAAATAAGAATTTAAAAATCAATCCTAACTCATCATCTCAGATATTCTATCAGATACCATACAGACTTTCTTTTCACTGACTGAACTCAACTTGCAAGCATTTCCTGCACTGAGTGTCCACTTAATCTGTGAGAGGCAGACTTCCCATTTTTTCAGAGACGGTAAATTTTAACCAAATCAACAGGACATTAAAGCAAGCATGATTAAGTAGTACTGCTTTTTAGTACTCAACTGTAAGTAACGCACATAAAGTGAGAAGCTGTATATTTTAACCAAATTTTGCAGATAGTACTTAGATAGTACAAGAGAAAACAAGGATTTTGACAAACAAATCAGCAGTATAGCTAGAATGAGAAAACAAACATTTCTTAATAAATACACCACAAGATCTCTTATTAAGGCACTGAAAGGATGAATGAGGAAAATCTCTATTAGAACATGAAGATATAGTGTATGTTTCCCTGAGCATCAAATTAGTACACACACCTCAATAAGTATATAAATAACTAATTATAACAGTGTGTGAGAACACACCGCCGGGCAGGTAAGCAAGCACGCTGTGGAGACACTGCTACGTTAGAGCTGTAGAAAGAGTGATCGTTCTGAGATACACACTGTGAGATTTGCCAGAGGAAATTTTGGGGGAAAAAATGGCTTCTGAAGCTGAAGAAATTTTCTGTGAAGATGGAGAGCGAGAAAGACTTTGTACAGGAATCACATTCGCTTTCTAGTGAGCCTAGAAGGAAATGGGAAGTTCTGGACTGCAAAACTCCATCATTTTAGATAATGGATTTTATTCTTCAACGGCAGCTAAGTAGCTGATCCAGGAAATATTACAATCTTGGATTTTCTATGTAAAGATAGTAGAAGGCTTTAAAACAATTTGAAAAAGTTTAGCATTCCACTCAAATATGTGCTAGAGAGGTAGGCACGCTCATGTCCTACCCCAGTCCCCCAGTGAGAGGACAGCTGGTCTCTTCCCACAGAATGTGGAGGAAAACAAAGAGCTGCTAATTCCTCAAAGCAGCTCACAGAAAGTGCGTGACATGTCTATAAGCTCTACCTCAAATCGTGATGATGATTTTTAATTATTAAAAATGATGTTTACTAAAAAGGAACTTTAAAATACTACCTGACTGCAATAGTATGTCCCTCCTCATTTTATATTTCATAGCACATTGTTTGTAAGATACAAGTAGCTTAACACTGACGGACTTTCTCTAGTTATATACAGGCTACTTAGATAATGTCTCTGTGTATGGATACATGTAAATGGAAATATAAACGCAAGTACGGATAAAAGAATATTACACAAGACATTACACAGTACAGCTCATATGAGAACGAAATGATGCATTTTTTCATCAGAATACATTTCTGATCGTTCCATCATATTTTTCAACTATTATAGTTTATAAGCCAACGACAACAGTGTTATGACTCAAAGATCAACCGCAAGAGACATGTCTAAATAAGCATTTACTGTGAAAATCATTAGAAAACCATCTTCCTCCTACAATAACATCCATCAATAGCAAGATGCCAAATTCAGGCACAAATAGCAACAGTCGTGCTAAAATCGACACCTTATAAGCGTAAACATTTTCAGTAACTTCCACCATTCTCATTTTCACCTTTTCAAATACAAAAAAATCCCCTCCAAGTTCATGGAAGTAAGATTAACATGTACAACATTCTAAAAATATGAACTACATCAAGACAATGTTAGGCATCCAAAACATTATATAATACCAGAAAACACTTCTACCAAGCATAAAACAATCATTGTATAACTATATGCATATATCTGTATATATGTAAATTCACTAGAAGACCCTGTGAAGTACAAAGTGTATTTTTTACTATTTACAAAGAAGTTTAAAAACAATTGCAGTGTTTCATACTTTTTGCACCCTGTGACCTTCCAACTTCAGTTCTTTCATCAGTAACTGAATTCAACAGGGTAAAGTATAACATGAATACAAAAAGACAAAAGAAGTGCTTTTTTGGCACAAACATTTTCTGCAAAGTTAATTTTGGATTTTTGTCTGCTAAGGGAAATAAAAGAAAGACCATACAGCAATACTGAAAAACTGAAACTGAAGCAAATCTGCCCATGAAATAAAGAATTCATTTTTATTTAGCTTTGAAAATAGTTTTGACTGAAGCTTTTGCAGCATGGGATGGTAGTACTCTAGACATATATGTAGCATGGTGTAAACTAAATTTCCTATGCAATGGTTATCTGCTGTGGGAAGAGCCCAGGTTAACTTCAAGCTTCGTGCAACTAGAATGGCACATGGACCCTCATTGTTCTACCACTTCACCTCCTTTGGGGGCAGGCTCTGTGTAAAATAATTCCTCATGAAATACCCAACATCACCAATGTCATTTCAAAAAAATCTTCATTTTAAGTTATTTGTGGTTTTCACTACCGCATCCCTACAGAATCTCCAACCCAGCACGTCTTCAGCGTTTTCAGAAATTTCCAGTAGGAACAGATTTGCTGAGGGGCCCATCAACTGAAAGCAGAGGCAGGGACCTCTCCCTCACACTCTTCCAGCCAAAGAAGTCTGGCAGGGAAAGCTGGAGCTCACTGGAATTGGTAACAATTCTGCTGCTGTCTTTACTGGACTGTAATTACATTTAGGACAATATTCACTAGTCTCAGTGCTGAGCATCATCCTTTGGTGAACAGATTAGATGCGCAGCCTATCAAAACCTGAAGACAGAGTTTCACATCATAACTTACAGCCAGCCAGCGCTATGTCAATTCTACGCTCGCACAATTAAACGAGAACCCCACCCTTGATTATATAGTAAATAGAAATTTCACTTAATTTAGGCTGTAATTTTGCTTTCTGCGTGAAGACCATGCAGAATCCTGGTTGCCAGGAGGAAACCAGACAACTGGAGCTTTACAGAATTACAGAACCAGCTTTACACTCAGAATCCCTCCATTTATTAAAAAACAAAAATAGAGAAAACATTACCACGCTCAAATCAAACACCTGAAATATCTGATTGCTGACAATGGAATGACTCAAACTCCGTGTCAATTACTTTTAATTATCTGCTATTAGAACTCTAACTGCTGGCGAAGAGTTCAATTTTAGCTAAAATAATGAATATGCCACATAGTTCCTGCAGCCTTTTGGCTTTCCACGCATCTGCTGAAGCAAATCTGTCAAAATGAACCTGAATCGGGCTTACGGATACCAGCTGGTTTTTCGCACAGAAGGCTTCCCTGACTGGAGCCGCGCATCCCTCCCCACGCGGGTCTGGCGCACAGCGGCAGAACGCCCCGCCGTCACCCCTGCCAGCCGCCCCGCGCGTGGCCGACGGCGTCGCGAGCGCGTCCGCCATCCCGCAGCGGTGCCGCCTGCAGCGCCTCCCCGCCGGCGACTCCTCCTGCCCCAAAGCCAGTGCAGCCGTTTGCACCCGCCCGAGGAAACGGGCTGAGTCACAACGCAAAGCGTCCCACACTCACCAGCTGCGCGGGGGCCACCACGAGAGCGCTGGACCCAGGCTAATGGAAGCGGCAACACGGGGGTGTGCATAAAGGGCAGGGCCTGCCCGGGCCAGCGCACTGCCTCCAGCAGCGGGCACGGGCCTGCGCTCCCAGGGCACAGCGGCGGCGGGACCCACCGACCTGGCTGCGAAGCCGCAGCCCAGCGAACCCTGCCAGCGCACCTTCCCCCTCTCCTCTCCTGGCGAGGGCTGGCAGGAGGGGAGGAGAAGCGGGCGGCTCTGCCTGTCCGCGTGAAACGCACTGAGGGACCTGTGCGATGGTACGTTTGGGGTTTCAGAAAACACCTGTAAATAAATGGCGCTAAAGGCAGTCACGAACCTCGGTATTCAAACTCCAACTTTTGAAAAAAATCGAAGAAACCGCTCCAAGTATCAGCTTTTCTAAGTTATTTGATTTATATTTCTTTGCATATAATGTATTTAAGCTCTTTACAACTGGGAAAATATCCAAAATAAATACTTTCCTATTACATAGGAAGGGCGATAGGGACTTACATGCCTCTTGCAGAGAAAAATGTACTTATACACATACAGACATTTCAAGTTATACATATGCATATTAAAAGCTATAATGTACACTCTGACAATATCTCAGCTTGTAGAATCATAATTAGTAATAACGTCTAATGAATGTTGCTGTATGTGTTGTTGCGCACATTAGTATCTCCATTATTACTTAGAAGTCCTTCAGATAAGTTTACTTTCAATCAGTGATAAACCCAATAATTTTACTCAAATTTGTTACGAAGATCAGCAATCTTATAACATTTCCAGAAGAACTGAATTTTTGTAACTTCTTAAGATCCTGTCATGCTGGTTCAGCAGTTTCTCTGGTTTCAGTCTATGGCTATTAGCTTTACAAGGCTTGAAGTAACATCACAATGTACCATCCACTTTCCCAGACAGAACTATTATCCCATAACCTTAGCAACGTATTATTTAGATAAAAAATCAGACAGATGAATAGGACCCCAAAAATGTTGTTTTTTCCAATGTTTTAAAAAAAGTTCTGGAGGAAGGGGAGTTTGCTAAGGGAGAATACAACTGTTTCAACTGTAAGAGAAATCATAAAAAGGAAGAAGCCAGAAGATTAATAGGACAATAATCCCCAATGGCCAGGTGAGAAACAACCACTCTACGGGCCACATGTTATTCGTGAACTGACTCTAAAAAGGATTTTAAGAAAGAATGAGAAGCGACACTTGGATATCGGGAAATTCATTAAGATGCCAGAGAACAACTGTCTTCTTGTCCCTGCAAAGGGAACCATTTCTCCCAATTTCTGTGCACAGTGGGGCTTCGTTGTCCCTAACATTTTTCTTTAAGCCTCTACTGCTATGCTGGGAATGCTTGCTTTAAGAAAATTTAACTGGACTACTTCTGGAAATAAATTCTACATAACATCAGGGGTCTTCACATCTGGTAATGACATAAAAGAGCCTGTGGAGACAAAAGCACTGCTTACCGGAAGGTGACTAAGTGGAACATCCACTTGACCCAGGAAGTCGTCTCTAGTCTGTCAAACAGAAAAGAAAAGGCAGAAAAAGGAGTCATTTTACATCAAAAGAGCAAAAATTATAAACATCAATCCAGTCACAATGAAACAAAACTAAAGATGGTTGAGTACCATTATTTTAGCAATTACTGGTTTCTACCCCTGTATTGTTGCACATTATCTGTTGTTATAATTTATCCATTTCAGCAGAGGATTTTCTGTGACAGTCCAAAATGGCTTCTTAGTCCACAGTATGTATGTTAAGTACTGATTAAATGCTGTTTCCTCTGACAACCTACACATAATTAAAAAAGCAAAGTAATAATCTACTCTTTCCATTTATTAGTCTCCACATGCATTAAAAAGCAGAGTGAAACCGTGTCACTGAAATGTTCCTCAAACGCTGATGCCTTCCCCCACACCTTCTTTTAAGGAACACCTCATAAGCACGGCTGACAGGGAAGGGAGGGGAACCCAACATCCAAACAGCAAAGACAGGGCTGCACGAATTGTAAACATTTTTCCCCCAAATAAGAATTTTATCACTTTAACAAACAGAAACCAAAGTATTAGTACTGTTTTATTTTTTTCAAGAATGCTGTTCCATGGAATCAGAACGCGTACTTTGTGAGGAGCAGTTACAGAGCCTTTCAAGCAGCCTTTCGGGTAATCCCGTAGTCCCCCCTGGAAGCCTGGACCATTCATAGGCTGCTTCAAGTGAAGCCTGCCGATGTGGTTACACCAACACGTGGGCTACACAGCGCCACCACTAATTCACTTACACACACTTACGTCCATACAGAAGTGATAACCACTACTTTCCTGCATTTTCTTCACTATCTCCTCCATCACCACCACCTCTTCGAGGGAGCAAGCCAAAGGCAGCATCTCCCATGGAGGTAACCACCGAAAAGCTGACAGCATGACCTGGTCTCCATCTAACTGTACCTTTACTAGCGGGTATCTGAACCATTATTCATAATTCCATCAACTACATTCCGTACCCATTTTACAACTATGAAGATGACAGGATAAAGTGAGCCCTTCAAGGGCTAGAAGGTCAGATATCTGATCTTGGCGATACTCGAGTGATTCCTGAAGATGCTCAGACGGGACTGCATGCAGTGTGCTATTCACCCACTCATACCTACCACTGTAAAGAACACAAAAATTCACACAAGATATCTCAGTGCGTTTCTAGCAATCCACTTACAAGGACAGACAGAAGAAAAGGAGCATGAAATATTAGCAGAGGGGGACAAACTAAGGTTAAAGGGAAATTGAGAGGGAAAATGTGTACTGTTATCGCTCACTTTACAGCTCAATAAAGCGTAAAGAGAAATAGCTCTCATCAATTTTTTCATCAAACAATAATGTCTGTTTAATCTCTCTATTCAATTACACTAGATACAACATTTCTACCTGAAAATATCTGCGTACTGAATGGACTGTGATTGCTTTCAGTAAATTATAACCTTAAAGCACCGCTCAGGTGTTATCTTTATCACTTAGGGACACCTTAAAACTGCTTCAGCATTGAACGATTTTTATGATTAACAGCATCACCTGAAGAGCAGAGTTGCACTGGCACCTTTTACTGTCAATTAATCTAAATCTCAGGGGTGATTTTTCTTTAAAATGTGGCTGTAACTATCCATCCAACTTCAAAAGATCCCCGTGCAAACCAAAAATGCAGGCAATCTCCCCGTTTGAATCTCATACACATGGATCAGTTGATCTTCCCTGATGGTAAGTAATAGAGGGCAACCCAGAAATCAAATCAGTATAAAGCACAGACAGTATAGTCAGGCACTGCACGGAGAGATTCCTTTCTGTCTCTTAACTGCCCTGCAATGCCAGGCCCAGGCGCTCTCAAGTGCTGCAAGTAAAAGAGTAGTGACTGGACCAACAATATTCAGAAGCAGCTGTGCAGAAACCAGATAAATATTCTAATTTCTCCATTATAAACAGTTCGCCTTCCTGACATATTTCCAGAGACATGTTTGTACTTAACCTAGCTGGATGTGCACAGTATCGCTTCGGACAATATCTCAGGAGAGTATCTTCAGAGCTGTATGAGGTTGCCCACGTGGTAGTGATGTGGACATGTTGAAAGTCAGCTCCACAGCTAATCGAATTGACTCGTTGATTACGATCATTATTTGCTCATTTATAACAGCAATTCACTGTTCTAGCCACTCAGCCTAAGATTCCTTCCTGCCTGTGATGAAATCCATTCAAAACACGGCAAAGAACCCAACAAGCCAGACACCCCACAAAACCACCGAGGAGCCCTGGGTGATTTCTTGTTGCAGGGAGAGGCTGTGGGAAGACAGTCGCAAGCCTCTTTTGTGTAACCAGACCCCAGAGGAATCGGGCAGCTTCTGAGCCCCCAGGGAAGCCACGGCTGCATGACGGGGCACCGGGGGGTCGCTCCTCCGACCCCTCAACCAGGAGGAGCCATCTCCTGCTCTGCGTCCCCCAGGGGCTACCAAACCCCGACCCTCAGGGCTGTGAAAGCTCTCCTGAGGTGAACACAGGGTCCTCACAGGCGGGAACGGAAGAGGGATAGGAAGGATGTCACCCTGCTGTGTCTGCACTCTTAATTCCCACCGGTGATTATTTCTCTCCCAATCCACCTGCAACTGGGGAAACCTTTCACCTTGCAAACCTCTTGGCCCAAGGCGCGGCTGGCCCTGAAACAAGTCATCTGAAATGCAGGTACTTCTTCAATACCCAAACGCCCCGGCTGCGCTAAGCGCGGGGTAACGCAGAGCCGCGGCCGTACGGACAGCGGTCACGAGGGGATCGGCCCGAAAGCACCACGGGCACAAAAGGAGCCCGGGGCCACGTCTGCTCGCCTCTCCCTGGCCAGACGGGGCCGGTACGGGCTGGACCAGTGAACGCAGAGATCCCTGCCACGGGGAGGCCGGGCGGAAAGCTCTGCCCGAGGAGCCCGGGCGCTATCTGCCCGGCCCCAAGGCTGTGGCGAGGGCAGCGGGGGAACGGGGCAGCACGGACGCACCACAAGCAGCCCCACAGCCCGGCCACGCGCTCCCGAAACCGCCAGCGACCCGCGTCACGGGGAGAGGCCCCTCGCCGGGGGCCAGCGGCGGCATGGCGGGCAGCCGGCAAGCGGCCAAGAGCGGGAGCGGGCGGCCAGGCCACCGGGCCCGAGCGGAACACGGCGGCGAGGGCGGGCTGCCGGGGAGTGCACGGGGGCACCTGGCGCCAGAAACCGCCGCCCCGCTCGTGGAAATCAGCCCCGCTCGTGGAAATCAGCCCCGCTCGTGGAAATCAGTCCCGCTCGTGGAAATCAGCCCCGCTCGTGGAAATCAGTCCCGCTCGTGGAAATCAGCCCCGCTCGTGGAAATCAGCCCCGCTCGTGGAAATCAGCCCCGCTCGTGGAAACCACCGCCCTGCTCGTGGAAACCACCGCCCCGCTCGTGGAAATCAGTCCTGCTCGTGGAAATCAGTCCCGCTCGTGGAAACCAGTCCCGCTCGTGGAAATCAGTCCCGCTCGTGGAAATCAGCCCCGCTCGTGGAAATCAGCCCCGCTCGTGGAAACCACTGTCCCACTCATGGAAATCAGTCCCGCTCGTGGAAATCAGCCCCGCTCGTGGAAATCAGCCCCGCTCGTGGAAATCAGCCCCGCTCGTGGAAATCAGCCCCGCTCGTGGAAATCAGCCCCGCTCGTGGAAATCAGCCCCGCTCGTGGAAACCACCGCCCCGCTCATGGAAATCAGTCCCGCTCGTGGAAACCACTGCCCCGCTCGTGGAAATCAGCCCCGCTCGTGGAAATCAGTCCCGCTCGTGGAAATCAGCCCCGCTCGTGGAAATCAGCCCCGCTCGTGGAAATCAGTCCCGCTCGTGGAAACCACTGTCCCACTCATGGAAATCAGTCCCGCTCGTGGAAATCAGTCCCGCTCGTGGAAATCAGTCCTGCTCGTGGAAATCAGTCCCGCTCGTGGAAATCACCGCCCCGCTCGTGGAAACCACCGCCCCGCTCGTGGAAATCAGCCCCGCTCGTGGAAATCAGCCCCGCTCGTGGAAATCAGCCCCGCTCGTGGAAATCAGCCCCGCTCGTGGAAATCAGTCCCGCTCGTGGAAATCAGTCCCGCTCGTGGAAATCAGTCCCGCTCGTGGAAATCAGTCCCGCTCGTGGAAATCAGCCCCGCTCGTGGAAATCAGTCCCGCTCATGGAAACCACCGCCCCGCTCGTGGAAACCACCGCCCCGCTCGTGGAAATCAATCCTGCTTGTGGAAATCAGTCCTGCTCGTGGAAATCAGCCCCGCTCGTGGAAATCAGCCCCGCTCGTGGAAATCAGTCCCGCTCGTGGAAACCACTATCCCACTCATGGAAATCAGTCCCGCTCGTGGAAATCAGTCCCGCTCGTGGAAATCAGTCCCGCTCGTGGAAATCAGTCCCGCTCGTGGAAATCAGTCCCGCTCGTGGAAATCAGTCCCGCTTGTGGAAACCACTATCCCACTCATGGAAATCAGTCCCGCTCGTGGAAATCAGTCCCGCTCGTGGAAATCAGTCCCGCTCGTGGAAATCAGTCCCGCTCGTGGAAATCAGTCCCGCTCGTGGAAATCAGTCCCGCTCGTGGAAATCAGTCCCGCTCGTGGAAATCAGTCCCGCTCGTGGAAATCAGTCCCGCTCGTGGAAATCAGTCCCGCTCGTGGAAATCAGCCCCGCTCGTGGAAATCAGTCCCGCTCATGGAAACCACCGCCCCGCTCGTGGAAACCACCGCCCCGCTCGTGGAAATCAATCCTGCTTGTGGAAATCAGTCCTGCTCGTGGAAATCAGCCCCGCTCGTGGAAATCAGCCCCGCTCGTGGAAATCAGTCCCGCTCGTGGAAACCACTATCCCACTCATGGAAATCAGTCCCGCTCGTGGAAATCAGTCCCGCTCGTGGAAATCAGTCCCGCTCGTGGAAATCAGTCCCGCTCGTGGAAATCAGTCCCGCTCGTGGAAATCAGTCCCGCTTGTGGAAACCACTATCCCACTCATGGAAAT